GCCAACTTTCTTCATCTTCCCAAGAATAGAAGACATGATGAGCAAGCAGCCTGTGGGGAATGACACAAACACCTCAAGTCAGCACTTCACAGGGCTATGAGTTCCTGTTTTGCCTAGAAGTACTCTCCAGAAACAGCAGGGAATGGATTGGTTACTCTCATCTTAGAAATGAGACAGATGGATACATTCACTAGAGAGGTGAAACAATTTAGTAGGTCATTATCTCCATGCTATTTGTTACTGTCCCCACTGCCCTTACCTATTTCAGAATGGAGAAAGCAAGTCAGAGTGCCCCAGATCTTGCCAGCAACCCCACTGCAGACCTGACTACTTCTGTTTAAAATTAGTGCCTCATCCCACCCCCTCCAATCATTGTTAAAGCCTGAACAATCTTTGTTTTTCTTCTCTACTTTCTGTTTTGTGCCACGATATGTTCTCAGGATTTTATCAGGCATGTGAAAAACACCAGGTGTGCCATAACAGCAGCTCAGGGATGCTGAGCACTGAGGGCTTCCTGCGTATTGGAAAATTATCACTTAATGGCTTCACCATAATTACAGCAGTGCCCAATGAAAATTGGAGCGTGTGATTCTTGAGATGAGTATCACTTCAAACATGAGATAGAAAGGGAAAGGTTACCACAGATAAGAGATGACTGCAAAACCACATGTCTGATCTTGTCTGATTTACAACCACAAAGAATTAGACACAAGTTAACAAATATACTATACTGAAAGTATAGCAGGCTTTTCCTGCTTTCTTACCAAACTGTTTTAATCAGACAGATGTTGGTCTTTATGCCACTGAATGCAAAATATTCTGGAACTCCAATAGTGGAGACAGGAATGCATCATATCTGAACTGCTTTTAGAGAGCTCTGATCAGCCTTAAAAACATCCTCTGAACTCCCAGGCTGCTTGGAAATCTTACAGCTTTGAGCACAGGAAAGTTACAAAATCTTTAAGAAGTCTTCAATTATAAACCAAATTATAGTAGTCACTAATCTTATCTGTATATTCAGTGTGAAAACAACATCATAAACACGCATCAAGGTTGTTTCTCGTCACAAAAATATTCTGAGGGCTTGTCTGCAAACCTACACTACACATTAAAGCTGAATTTTCACTTCCATAAGACTAATTAATATTTACATTAAAGGTCACTTACATTTTTCTGTGCAAGCAGGATAGGAAAGAAACTTTTGTCAGGCATTTGCGTTTTCTATAATTTTGTACAATACGTAAAGAAAACATGAATTTGCATACTTGCACATTTAGGGTTACTGGAAGCACCACAGTGTAGTACAGATGAAATACTAATGTCCTCTGTGCTCACCTTTCAAGTTCTTTGTGTCCTTAGAATCACTGAAAGGATAAACATAGTATCTTATTAGCTTAATTGTCCTATAAATAAGAAATCATACATAAAAAATATTTCCATTTGGAATATGATACTAAAAATAGAGAAGAACAATACTGCAGTGAAAAAAGTTATAGTTTTATAAAAAATACACTGGGAATACAGCCGTGTACAGGTTTAATTATTTGTCTTTAAATTAATATGGATTAAGCCAAAACCATCAGTGAGATGGCTGTGGAAAATGGAATCCCTTGTTTTCCACTGAATAGGTGCAGTCTTAAAATCCACAGAAGAGACTCAGTCCTGTCCCCCTGGCAATTTTCTCAAACCTAGGTTAGTCATGATGTGTGCTTTCATTTCTCAACCCTGTTGTTAATATCTTTGATAATAAAGACAAAGCTGCATTTCCTCAGAAGTATCAATTTGCAAGGGAAATAAACTGCACAATTCTGTGGAAGGAATCTTAAAAAGAAAAAATAAACTAATAATTATATAGCCTAAAAATTCATAACCTACCTGAACTCTTTGATTCCTGGGTGCACTGAAGTTCGATACAATAAATGAGACAAGGAAATATTTATGACAGAGTGTCTAACCACATCAGAACTTACAATAAATAATAAAGAGACTTTACAAACAACTAAAGCTGTGCTATTCAAATATACACGCACAGCTTTCAAGTACAGCACAAAATCCTGTCTTCTGAAAAACAGTCCAGTCAATAGTCTGCATAAGCACCCTCTGATCTACAGAAATTTGGTGCCGGATATTCCTCTTCCAAGGTGCCTGGACTGAAAAGCCCTCAGAGTTTGCTTCTCCATCTGTCTGCAAAAGTGTTCTATGTGTCTGATGATTTTTAGAATCAAGGGAAGTTCACTAGAACAGAGAACAGAGTAATAAGATCATTAAGAACAATTCTGGAACCAGAAGCACCAGCGGCTTTTATTCCCAGGAGTTTAGCAAAGCTCTTTACAAGAATTGCAGTAAGTTGCTGTTGTTTTTCCCTCCCCTTTAAATTCCATTTAGTAATGGATATGCTTCTCCAGATTTCCTCTTCATAAATACACTCAAGCTTGCAAAAAAATCCCAAACCACCAGACAGCAATTGTCTCTGTGGGTCACAGTTTCAATTCAATTTACCAAACCATGTAACACACGCCACAGCTCTTATCTGAGATCAGTCATCTTTCTGGACACCTTTCTTGGGTGTAAAGGCCCACCAAGTATTTTAAAGATAAGCTGATTCTGGACAGAGCTGAGGAAGAAAGAAAGTCCTAAAGTCATTCTATCATCCCATATTCCTAATACGTTTTAATTAATATATACATGTATGTAACAGCTTCTAAACATTAATGTCATTAGGAAAAAAAGAATCCGTATCTAATCCAGGATGGATCTAATACCCTGAAAAATGAAAAGCTGTGTCATACATTGTTAAATATATGATTTGTATAAGAACCTGCTGCCAAAATCTAATCTAGAGAAACAGCTTTTCCAGCAGGCTTAGCTGAGGCTGTAGCTGTTAGACTCAAAGCAACCTCTAAACTTCCAGCTCCTGACATTTCAAGTTTGAACTTGAAATTATTCAACAAAATTATGTAGTTTATGTTTTGCAAAAGGTAACTATCTTTCTAGTCTTGCTATCTTTATATATATATATAAAGGACTAACATATTTGCCTATTTAATAGCAAACTAATTATACTACTGAAAACACCCTAAGGCATTGCACTCTGAAGAAATAAAATGCCTATTTATTAATGCATAAGTACAGATTACCAATAAGGCAGGTTGTTAGCTGGTGCTCCTGGAACTTTGCTGAGCAGAGCCATCTCATCCAACATTATTATTAACTCCTTCACTATTCCAAAGCAGAGACTCAGTAAGAAAGTTATAAGGATCAGTGGAGGATGCCCCTTATTCAGTCTCCAGCTTCCTCCTGGTCCTTTTTGCTAAATGCTTCTTCTCTCTCTTCCCATACCAGGCATCAGCTCCTCTCAGTCCTCCCATGCTCCGATGCACAAACTTCAGGAACTTTCTGCTATGTTTTGATGCCCCCTTCATCAGCCTCCTTGACCTGTATTTCTTGCGAAGATGTTATCTGCTTCTTAGCAGCAGCACTCCATTGCTTTTTGCAACAGTTGTTGGGACATACCATATTCTGTTCTCAGCAGGGACCTGGTTTAAAGATATAAACTGATAAGGAGATGTGGATGCTTATCAAAATAGGCCAGTTAGAAACAAGAAGGAACTTTCTTTCTTGGGCCTGCATCCAACCTGCTGCACAGGCTTTGTGCAATTTCTGTGCTTGAGAGTGATTTTACCAACTAAGAGCCCTCTCTATCACTGTAAAAGGAAAAACATCAGCATATGTGCTGAAGTTCTTAAAGACCTATCTGAATCCAGCCTACAGGCCTGCAGAGGTGGTCTTGCCTTCACTAACAGAACCTAAAACCTGACCACAATTTTACCAGCTTCTGGAAACAAAAGTTAACAGCATGCTTGAATAGTATTATCAGCTCATTCCAGTTATTCAAGAAAATTGAAAGCACATCTGCTGATACAAAAATACTTTATAAAAACATAAAAAGGAAAACAACATATAAGTAATTCAGACTTTCTATAAAACCATTAATCTAGCCTATACTTCCTCTGTAATTCCTATGTATGCTGATAGTTCCCTAAACACAGCATGAAATAGATGCATGGAGAGCGGGTGGAGGAAGATGGAAATGAATCTATCTCTGCAATTTAGATTTCAGAACAGCATTCTTACTACAAAAGTGAGTCACTGATGTTGCTAATGTGTAAGACAGGAATACACATCCATATTTCAGTCAAAATACATGCTTCTATGTAATGAAAGTGTATCTAGATAACACAAAACTATCTTACTTGCTTCCCAATCTCATTTGAGCAACAAGGTGTACACCCATCTTGGTTTAGACAGAAAAAGTATACCTGTTTTCGTTTTAAAATAAAGCATAGGGGAGAAAAAAATTTTACGAGCATAACATGAGATAAAAACTTGGACATTTAAAGGGAATTCAGATGAGCAATACTTGACATTAAAAAGAGATTAGAGCCCAGCCTGGAAGCTGCTGTATTAAAGCTCATTACTCTGATTGTGGTACTCCATCTTTTACAGAGACAACTTTAGAAAACTGTATTTGTTCATACAACAGCCACCAAACTCCTCAAACAAGGCTGACATCTAGTGTGCTGCCTATATCTATGTATATTGTGAGACAGCTTAAGAACAAGAAATCTCTAATGAAAACACCAGACTTAAGTTACAGACTTAGGCTGTAACTACATATCTTAGTTACAGACAGTCTGTAGCTACTCATCTCTCCTAGTCTTTCTAAGCCTATTTCCTACCAGGAAAATGAGCCTCACATTAAGTATCATTTTATGCAGAAAGCTAATAGATCTTTCCTAGTCACTCAGTCAAATTCAATGTGATAATTACTTCTTATTTCACAAATGGGAATGACAGAGCAATAAAATGTGTACACCCAGCAGCAGACATTAAATGCAGGTTAGGATTTTTTTTCCACTGTAATGACACTGCATGTTAAAAGAATTGAAAGAAGTGAAAGGAAACACTGCACAGCCGGTAAAAAACAAAGAAGCTGCATCTCAGGCCATCCCAAACAATGACTTTATTTTCTGTGGAACATCACCATGGCAGCCCCCATGGCAGCATCAACATCCTTCCCGTAAACCACAGGGAATGGAAAAACCCTTTCCACTTCTTGCCTCAGCACCTCGTTCCTGGCAAGGGCACTGCCGCTCCCCAGAACCCTCCTCACTCCAGTCTCCATCAGGCACTTCACAGGTAGCATGGAACAGAGGTTTTCAATGATGCCACGGCACAGAGCTCTGGTTACATGACCCAGAGAGAGGTCAGAGACAGCAATATTGCTCACTGATGCCAGCTGCTCAGGAACGTGTCTCTCTCCAAATATGGTTGGGTGGATCAAGAGTTTGCTGTTGGTTTGGGCCAAGGCTGCTTTGATTATCTTTGTATAGATGGCAGACTCCTGGACCTGAAGTCCTGCAGATGGGAAATACCACGTTACTCATCTGAAGAGGTCCAGTGTATCTTACATGTGGAAACTTAAAGTGGACAATCCACCCTTCTGTGCCCCAGAAGTCATTGTTTTTCCAGGTTTATGAACCACAGTTCTCCCATCCAATTTTATCTAGAACCTGCATTACTTAAAATCCTTTTCAGGTTACAGAAACAGCCTTTCCTGACAACACAGCTATTCATCTTTGGCTATACTGTCCTAAGTTACAAAAAACAACACCTTTAAACACATTAACAGCAGATTTCAGCTTCAGTGGCTGAATTGCACATGAATGCAAAGTTCACTTCAAGTACTCACTGCAAGAATAATTTCAGAGCTTATTTCTGTATTGCAAAACCCAAGAAATGGTTAAAAAAACCCGTGAAGACCACATTTAAAGCACTTGGAAGATATTACATGAGTTTAAGTCTTAAAATCCATTAGAGTGCTGCAAAATATGAAGCAAAAGGCAACTGATCTAATCAAGGGACTCTTCCGGACTGCATTCATACATAATTAGAAGGCTGTCCTCAAATTCACTGGCTTTTACTTTTGAAAATCAACTTGCAAAAAATAATCCTCTTGTGTTCTTAAAACAAAAGAAAACCCAAAACCTAGGGGCAATGTGAATGTGGAGTCCAAGCATGACTGTCCCAGCATGTTCCTAAGCTTCAGCAGGAAATTCCAGAGATCTGGGAAGCATGACCCAAGAGTTATATCCTCATTCCCTATGTGGCATGAAAAAACAGCTCAAGGCCTGTTCCTTCACCTTAGCTTCTTTTTACCCTGCTGATGAATCAAATTTTTAAGCTGTCCTTGAAATATAACCTTGAAAATACAGCTATCCTATATTTTACGCTACCCTTGAAATAGCTTACCTAGCTCTTCTGCCCACTGTGCCACCATGTCCACAAACGTTGCTAGCACGTTGCCCCCATTAAGTGATGCTGCCACAGCCAAGTAGTCACCATTGAAGTAGGGAAAATAAGTAACAGCTGAGGAAGGATCTGGCATGTCTGGAGGCTGGAAACCAGGAGGCATTGAGATACTCAGCTGAGCAGAGGTGCTGATATTAAGAACTAGAACATAAAAGCAAAAAATAAATCAGTGTTTTACTAGGCTACCCTGAAGGAGGACAATGAGAAAACCAAGCAAGATACCAAAATGATCATACCTGCATCAGTCCTCTCAGTCAGACAGGAATACACAGAGCACTGGAAATCCCCCAGAGCAATTCCTACTTTTGCTCCTTTGGGGATTCCATGCCATGCACTGACTGTCCTGCCTGCAATACTGCCAGGGTCTCCCACCTCCGGAAGCAAGTGAATGGGAAAGTCAGATTCTTTCAATCTGCAATCAGAACAATATTATTGCAGGAAAGCAGTATGGGAACGTGTAGCAGGACTACAAAGGCCTCTTTGAGGTCACAGATGAACCCAGACATGCATTTGTGCCTGCTGGATTTATGGATGCTTTCACCTATTTGGAAAGCTTTGTCTTGGACAGGGGCAGCATTCCAGTTCAATGAGCTGGATAAACCAGAATCATCTAGAAGAATAAATAGCTTTCCTTTATATGCATCTTGATTACCTGAGATTATAGAGTAGTACATGTTCAGCAAGTTTACCCTAGTGGTGTCATATAACAAACAATTCCAGGGCAAAGGGACAATCACAAAACCAGAAAAAAAATGCAACTTCACAGAACTTTAAGATGTCATGCAGTTAGTGGTTCAAAACCAAACCACAAAGAGTTAAGTCCAACAAACTCCTTACATAAGATACTCTACATTGCTACAGCAATAACACCAAATTAACAACAGCTCAGTAGGCCAAATGAAGTTTCTGTCACTCTTTCATACCTTCATGAGCAGATCTTTTCACCTTGGAGTCCTGGCCTAACCTAAGCTCTGAATTATATAAGGCCTTAGCACTCAGCCCTGAAAGAGCAAATCATTAAAATAAGTAAGTAAATTCTTGAAAGAGCAAATCCTTAAAATAAATAAGTGAATAAATAAACTGATTCCCTATAAAACTTGCTGAAGATCTGTAACTCTTAGGTATTACCACAAGTAAGTCCTAGTAGTTACGAAGGAGCTCAGCTGAATGAACTACAGAACTGTCTTTTATCATCACAACATCTTGGCTGCAGCATGCACTTGCCCACCCCATCCCATCACAGAAAGGAAGAGAGCAGTTTGGTATATGAGGCCTCACTGATGAGTCTCTCAACTCTGCTCTCTTAGGTATTTCTAAAATACCATGCCAGATTTTATATAATTTAGACATATGCACCTTACAGAACAAACTCTCAATAGTTCTTCAGTACAGGCCACACATACATAGAAGTAACTTTCAATCACTTTTTATCTGTAGCACTCTCATACTTAGGGCCCAGATATGTTCACATTGCCCATCACAAGCAATATACAAAACCCATTCAATGCTCTTAGCACTTACATATCAGTATTCCAGCTTTTATTTCTGGAATTAAAATATCCCCAGCTGGCAGCATTCTGGACAGACATGAGTGGCTTCCTCAGGTCACACAACATGGCAACCACGTAGTCATGGATAGTGCCAGCTGCATCGTAAGACTTCAGAAAACCTGGACTTTTAAACAAAACACATTAAAACCAATGAGGGGCACTTTAAGGCAGAGGGAGCAAGATTACTTCCATTGCTACAAGAAGCTTTAGACACGTGTGGGCCCATCTAAAAATGTAACAGCCATCTCAGTGATAAGCCTGGACTTTGTTGTTTTGGTTTGGTTTTGTAAGTGGAATTTGCTTTCCAAGCTGTTACTGCAGCAGCAATAATTACCTACTGTTGGAAGATGGAGAGACAAAGGCTTTAAGGAACGAGTTGTCCAGGTTCAAAAGCACACCACTGCAACAGTTACCAGGAAGGCGGTAATTGTTTGCACAAAAAAATGATCCTGGAGGTCATTTGTTGATGTGTTTGTTGATCCTGGAGCATTTGAGAAAAGTATGTAAATTCCTGCAGTTGTTCTAGGATCCACAAATTGTATGAATGGAAACATACCAATGGTTAAATAAAACAGGAACAAAGCAAAGCAGCTGAACTCAAACAGCTCTAAAGCAAGATCACGCCATGCTCCATGTATTTGCTGGACACACACTGTAAGAAACCAAGATCTAGTAAGTTTTTGCCCATTTATTGAACCTGAACTCATTGCAGAGAAAGACTTTGGCTCTTTGAAAAACAGCATACTGCAGACATAACTGAGGAACAAATCTTGCTGATGCCAAGTCATAAGTGAAAAATTATATCCTCTGCAAACACACCACAGCAAAGCAGACCATTTTTAACACCTCATAAGGATCTCGGTGCCTAAGGAAGGAAGGAACTGAAATTAATTTAAAGAATATTTGTTTTAGCATCTGGCAGCAAGCAGACAAAGCAACTCAATTACTGTTTTAGGCACGCTTGCATTTTTCACAGTCTGCACAAGGCAAAATTATAATGTTCAAACTGCATTAGCAGAGCTCCTCTGAGCGGTGGGACAGACTAGAATGATTCTACAGTTCTTTAAGGCTTTTGTTACTATATGGTCAAAAGCTTTTCTTTTTATTACAGAGATCTGCAATATTTTTATGAGGTCAGAGAATCTTGTGCTTACTGGCATACAGTTTATATTGAATACTGCCATTTTAAATATTCTTTGAATACTTATTTAATATTATGATTAAAGAGAAACACAGCCACTCAGCTTATAGTGGCACTAACATGCTACAGGAATACTAATTGTCACAGAAATTCAAGATGAGAAACTGCCAGTCAACCACCTAATAAGGAAATGCTTTCGAGAAACAATGTACCTCTTCTTTAAATACCAGTAGACTGTGGCACATCCAAATCCTGTAGCCAAGCTGATATGCGACTGTGGCAGAGGAAGAGAAGAGAGGAAGGTAGGACTGCAGCGGGTGTCTTGCCAAGTAACCAGATGACTGACTTCCTCTGGCTCAAAGGTAGGTCCTGGGCCACTCTCTGTCCACTTGCAACCTGAAACACACAGTTTCTGAGAAGTCCAGCAACCCCCTGCAGCATAGTACACCTGGCACTCCTCATTTCTGGCCACTTTTGATGATTTGTCAAATATATTGGAAAAAGAGCAGAAACATAGCCTGTAGTGACTGTAATCAAATTAATTAGTCATGGTTTTCAGCCCTAGATAACATCATAATGGCAGTCATCCTCTGCTAAAACAGAGGTTGGTATCCAAAGGCCTTCATTCTCTAACAAGCACTCCTAGTGCCTACAGGAACAAGCAATTTGCACCCTTAGATATTAATGATGCAACTTAAATATCAGGTTATCCAAAAAACAAACAACCAATCAACCCTTCAGTTCTGGTATGGGAGGTAATGAGCTGATATGACAGCTCTCATATACAAACCTTAATTGGGAGCTGCCACATCATGACCTAAAGAATGATTTATTAGTAACCAACTGCCTATGATGGATAGCATGTAGTTTCATCACCTTTTGAAACAAATGAAGAAAAAGCCTGGATCTATATGTGTTAAGCAATGGACTGTGAAGTACTAAAGAGTATCCCTTCCTTCTGCTATGCAACAAAACTTCAAAAAGGTAGAATAGCGTTTAATTCGGTTTTTGGTTTTACCAGCCCAGAATGTCCTTTGAACAGAGATCACCACACCTTTGATGAAACTTTCACATTCTTCCACATGAAGGCCTCAGCTAAATTACGGTGACTTCTCAGAGCCTTCTCAGCAATGTCTGCTACTGCTCCAGTCCAGCGTGCTACTTCCTGCCCCAACATGCTCACCACAAAAAGTCCTGCAAAGGCAGCACACTTACCTGCCAGAGCAGAAGTGTAAGCAGAGGCTAAGCTCAAGCACTGGCATGTGATGTTTGCTCACACACTCCACAGCATAGCTTTGGCCTCTGACAATTACTGTTCTCCCAGGTTATGCCTGGTCACAGTGTAGGGATGGGGGATAGGACAGGCCATGAGCTGTCTCCATAACTAAGGCAGCCTGCTGGTTTTGCCATGGGGTGGGATCAGGGTTTCAAGCTGTGCTGTGCCACTTATCCTACGGGTCAGAGAAGAGACCCAGCTGTCTGACTAGCACAAATATGGCTAAGAGTCTTTCTTGGGCTGGATACAGCTACACTCACACAGTAAAAAGCAGCCGTGAAAGCTGGAAACTACTATGTGAAAGATGCAAAGCAAACACATTATTTTTCTTGTTCCTTAATTCCCTGTTCTATCAAATCTGTTTGAACCGAATTTCCAATTTGTTTGCTTTTCTAGTTTTAAATGGATGCTAAGAAAAATTATTAACCATAAATCTAACCCTAAAGGATGCTATTAAAAATGTAATTTGTGTCCCAAAGTGCATAGATCCACTTAGTCTACTCAAAACAAATGAGAGCTAACACCCTCTTTCACTTGACAGAAATGAAACAAAAGTGGACTGTGGCTTTAGGAAATAAAATATTAACCAATATGCCATAAGAAACTATGTCTGCCATGAACCCATGAGGCTTTGGTATGCAGCCCTTGGGACAGCTGAAAAGCAAGCAACAGCTCCTTTGGTCCATCAGCCTTTGCATTTCTTTCTTTCCTTGCAGCCAGTAATGAATAGCCCAGTGTCTCTTAAAACAATTAAGACCCTGACAACTTTTGACAGGCAGTGACTAACACTTTTGGGAAATCTATTCTGTGATTTACAATACATTTTTGCTTAATTTGCCTAACTTCTATAATTATGAGGCTTGCATAATTGCTCAGATGTGCACACCATACGGTAATGAGAAAGAAGACATGGAACCAGATTCTGAAAGCCTTAGACTTCAGTTCTGAAACAAGCAAACAAAACAGGCCTGAAAACACCATTTACTGAACTGCAGTTTCCTTCTGCTTTACCTTCAAACAGCATTTCAAAATAGCTGTTCTGCTACTGCTATGCACATTGTAATGTAAAAATCAAACGTCTTATTTTTCAAAGCATATACAAAACTGCCACTACGACTCCTGCAGAATCATTAGAAGGTATTGAGGTACTGGACAACAGCTAGTTAAGTGTTTTATGAGGTGAGTAAGATCCACCTCAGGTCGTTCATATGATGCACAAGGTCTTTCAACTGGCAGCATATAGCTTATGATGAACATATTGGACAAGTCACAAATACGTTATTCCTCTTTCATATTAATAATTGTGCTGATTCTGCAGTGATCTCATTAGGATAAATGCTTTAACAAATCTGTGCAAACAATATCCTTAACTGAAATTCCAATAATTTAAAAGCATTTCCACAGATCTTCTGTTAATTCTGTTTTACGGAAGACCAAAGTAAACACACAGCAGTTTCCTACAGATAGTTTCAGAGTTAAAATCACATTTTCTGTATCATAATACTCCAAACAGGAATGGCAAAGAATTAATGTTACCTTTATCTCTTTTCCAAAATACAATCCCATGCATTTGTCCTGTAATACCAATGTGACTGACTCTTTGAAGCTGCTGCTGAGGTAGAGCAGCAAGGCATTCATTGAGTGCCCTTACTATTCTCCGGACATCCTGCTCCATTCCCTGCAATCATAAAACATTATTCTGATCATAAAACCATTAGGGTTCACTCAGTGTATTTATTAAACAAGACTACTCAAGTCAGAAGTGAGCAACAGAATTCATTTAGCTTAATAGTATGTATTAGAATGACATTCACTACTAAATTGAAAAAATAAAAAAAAGCAAAAAACCCACAAAACCACAGGAACTAAAACCCAATACCAGCAAGCTCAGAATGAGATAACAGCCTCTTAAACTGAAGGCCAGATAATCTCCTAAGTTACCATACTCATCTATACATTTAAAAAAATCCATTAACATTGACTACATGCTTTCACTAGTTCATCTTCTATATTGCTCTTCTTTTTCCCCACAAAGAGGATTACTGTTGTGCTCTGACTGGCATGCAGTTTCCCTTATAAGCTCCTCTCCATCTACTCCCTGTTGATTTCGATGATGCTGATACTTCATTTCTGGATATTCCATTCCTAGAACTCCCCATCAAACTGATCTACTCGGCAAACTGACCAAACCACACCACAAAAGAAGCTGCATTCCAGCTTTCTCACTGAATTTCAAGGATTCCGATTACTTTGTGACAGACCAGTGTGAAGGTTACAAGCAAAAGTATTCAAATACGGTCTACATACAGATGTGAACTACTCTGCATACACATCATTTTAGCTGTATAAACATGACTGTACAGAGGGGTTGGCCTGTTTGGTATTTTTGCTCAGAAGTTAGCTCCTGGGATCACTTCATTACTAGGCCAGAGACATGTTGGTATGTATTTTTTATGATTCTGATTCACCCTTTCTTAGATTGACCAACACAATAGATGTAAAGGTCTTTAATAGGAGCACATGCTTGTGGTTCTTTCCACAGGGAATTTCCAGTTATTATTCTATCTCACATTAAAGTGCAAAACACCCTTCTAGTTGGCAGGTGGTTGCTGTTTCTTGACAAGCAGTGTCAAAGACAAGGTGATGGCTCACGGGAGAATAGTTTTAGATTATTTTATGCGATTTTTCAAAACCTGAGTCTTTCTTAAATCAAGCAGCACTACTTGACTTTCTTCAACAGTAAAGTGAGAGCATTTTAATTCTATTTTCAGACACCCAGACACATGCAGCAACCATCTGCCAATCTAGGCATGAGAACAATCCAGGAAAACCACTGAAGTCTACACAGTGTAGCAAAACAACCCAGCCACTACAAGGCAAGGCCAGTATCCTGAAATCTGTCCACCCCTTACCTGCGGTCCAGCTTCCAGGCTACTGGCGTATGCCTGCGTCTCCCTGGAGCAACTCTCTGCCACCACTTGCTCTCGCTCTGCCCCTGTCAACAGGGCTGCTTTAACTGATGTCGTACCCAAGTCGATGCCCAGCACGCAAGCAGGCCCAGGCCTGCCTGCTGCCTCACCAGCCGCCATGGCTATGGTGAGAGGAGATTGCTTTCACCTTCCCCACCAAGCACGTCTCTGTACAGCGGCTAGACCAGCATCCACCAGGCTGAATCCCACACTGATCCTTGCTGCCTCTGAGGGGTAACTTGCCCCAAGAGCAGCGAGGGCGCAAGCTGTGCGGGCTCCCAACTCACAGTGCGCAGGACTGGGCTGAACTTTGCCCTCTGACTGAAGATGCCTCCCCTCAGCTGCGCCTGGCCGCTACCCCTCCGTCTTGAGAGTAACAAACTGTCTCTTTCCCCGGGCTCCCCAGTGACCTGAGCAGCTTTAAACTGAACTTTAATAAACTACCAGAGCCACAAACTCGCCCGCCCTCCGCTCGCAGCTCTCCCTCCTCCCAGCCCCCCCACCACCAGCCCGACGCACTCTGCCGCACCCAATATGGCGCCCGAGGGCGGCCGCACCGGCGCTGGGCGGGGAGGTGATGAGCGGCCGCCTCACGTGAGAAGCTGAAAAGGGAAGAGCCGGGACGGAGCCGCGGCAGTGGAAGGAGGTAGGCGCTTGCTCCTCCGCGCTCCCTCCTTCTCAGTGTTAGTGTTAGGACGCTCTAGGACAAGCGTGGGATGTCCCCACTGCCCTATGTCCCCTGAGGTGGAGGGAGGCGGGGACTACAAGTCCCAGGGAGCACCGCGCTGCCGGGGGTGGTGGTGGTGGTGATGATGGTAGAGATGCAATGGCTGCTGAGATTTGTAGTCCCGAGGGGAAGGGGAGGGTCTTTCAGGGGGCGGGAGCTGTGTGTGTGGCGGGAGCGGCTCCAGGTATGAGGTGTAGATGGCGTCGGGGGAGTCTGGGAAGGCAGAGGGACTGAATTGGTGCTGTCTGGTGGGTGCTGAGTTCCTCAGCCGGGCTGTGGTGGGTACCGTTTGAAGGGTGCCGCCGGCTGAGGGAACGGGCAGGGGTCCCCTCAAAAGGTGTGAGTCCTAAGCAAAGCTTTCTCCCTGCTTTTTCTGCAGGTTTTCCACCATGAGGATGCAATGCCTGCTCCCTACTCTGCTGCACCTCTCCCTTGTGGTGCTGGGGCCTAGCGGTGAGTGTCTGAGCATCCCAGGTTGGACCATGGGGCTCCCTTAGGCAGGGGCCAGTTCCACATCTGTAAGTGGTGGAAAAGGGCTGCTCTGCAGTGTCCCTGTTACACCTCTCTGGGGAGACCTGTGCCCTCTTCTTCCATGATACCGTTGACTTGGTGTGCTCCTGCACAGACAGTGCTATGCTAAGGCACTATTGTGATGGAGCACTCACCTCTGCAGAAACAGGTTAAATACTGTCTGTGGTGCAGTCAGCGATGAGCTGGGGAGCTCTCCTGCCTTTAAATAAGGTCTTAAGAACACTGTGTAATATAGAATCATAGAATAGTTAGGGTTGGAAAGGACTTTAAGATCATCAAGTTCCACACCCCTTGCCATGGGCAGGGACACCTCCCACTAAACCATGCCACCCAAGGCTCTGTCCAGCCTGGTCTTGAACACTGCCAGGGATGGAGCGTTCACAACCTCCCTGGGCAACCCATTCCAATGCCTCACCACCCTCACAGTAAAGAACTTGTTCCTTATACCTAAACTTCCCCTGTTTATATATATGTATGGCAATAAGAAAAAAATCATCTGTTTTTTTTTTCTCCATTTCTAATCTTATTTACCTCTTTGTTCTTTTTCTTGTCTCTTGTGTCCTTTAAACATACAGTGAATAAAATAGACTTAGATTCCAAATGTCAAAATCATTGACATGTGACCACCTTACGGTTTTGATACCGGTTTTATTGGCTCTTGGAATCTCAGCCTCTCTTGAAGTATTATGTGGTATAACACAGCTGAATTGTTGCAAGTGTGCCACTTAATGGTGATATTTCAGAGCACTATAGTAAGGTGCTTATGATTCCTTCAGTGTGAAGATAAATATACATTTGCTGGAACATCTGGGCACCTGAATTGAATTGTGACCCAAGAAGCTATTTTAAAATAGATCTGGGGCATTTATGACTCCCAAGTTAGTAGGATCACATCAAGAAACAATTAGCGTGGGTTTGAAGTATCTATAGCCACCTCTTGGCGTGAACTTTTGTTGCACTTCAAATATTTAAGTTGCTTCCTTGTAATGAGTTCAAGTGACAGTTACTTCTCTTTTAAAGTTTTTTAGTCTCCTTGAAATAAGCTCCCGTCCCTTTGTTGTTTGCCATATGTACTCACTGTATTAATCTGACACCACAGGTACCAATGGACAAAATGTCTACATCACAAAAGAAAGCAGGTGGTTCTTCTGAAGGAGCTATTAATTATTCACAGTAATTGAGATGTGTAGGGTTGTTTTGTTTTGACTCTTTTTTTTTTTTTTCTGTCTCAGATGGAGTTGTTGTATTGTCTGTCCCTGAAGTGGTTTCATTCGAAAGTGGAAGTTCAACAAATGTCACGATCTCTCTGAGGTAAAATAATGATTGCATCTTTACTTTCTTTTTGGAATGGGAGATGAGCAAGCAGGTAGGACTTGGCTATATGCTTAAGACTCCCCTGCAGACTCAGTTAATTGTTGTTCATACAGAGTAAATCTTAATGGTGTGACTGCCCATTTCTAGACTATTACATTGCTTAGTACAGTATGGATCAGGATAGTACAGCATTCCCATAAACATCTTTGATTGGCCTCTGATAACACCCCATGCCATTTGTATGGGAAGTTGAGCTGGAAAATATGTTTTATACTGTCTGCCCTATATTAGCTTACTGAACTGTCTTATGTAAGTGAACATAGAGTTCCTTCATTTCTAAAAATAGATGCTTAAGAGAAACTTACATTTCCTAGAAGGATCACCAAGAAAGAAGGTTTTATCAAGCAAACAGAACTCAGTTTCTAGCAAAGAAATACAGCTAGTCCAGAGTGGGGGCTGATGCACCTCAGTCTCATTGTTTAGTAAAAAAATGCATTGTTTACCCATGTTTTTGCTGTGTCAGCCTCTTCCCAGGAAAGGACCGTTAAAAATATGCACCCCCTCACCTTTGGATCTCAGTTTGTGTAAAGGGAACAGTCACATGAAAATCTAAGAGCTGTGATAAAGAGGTTCTGTGGTGTATGACATTCGTTGTTTGCAAGAGGTGTAAGGATTTAGCAAATACTCTCCCAGAGCCTTAAAGCAATCTTTGTGAACTCAAGCACCAGTCTAACTTGTTTTTTCTGCCTTCACAGGGCTCCATTAAATGAGACACTTGTGATAACTTTTAACATTACGCACTCATCAAAGCACAGCACCATTATTGAACTGCCTGATGAAGTAAGTGACAGAACAGATTTCTGACCTTATGCAAAAGCCTTCCACTAGTTTGGTGTAACTCTCTTTTTTCTTCCCTCTGCTTTGTCTTGCAGGTACAATTGCCTGCAGGTCACACTAAAGCAGAATTCCAAGTGAAAGCAGATGATGTTGGACAAGTAACAGTTTATCTTTATACAATTAATTCCAACTTAACTGGGTGAGAAACTGGTTTTTAGTTCCACTCGCTATCTTACAGCTTCCTATGCTCTGGGGTAACTACTTCCTCCTTATAGTTAAATAGCTGATGGGACATGGGTGGTATGTAGCTGAGATGTGTCCCTCCAGCAATCCCAAAGCTATTCAGCTAAATACAGGGTATGGAAGCAGAGTGATAGTCATGGTATTTTAGACTTCATTACTAAATGACTCATGAGTTCTTGTGGTTCCTTAGTCTGGTTTTAATAACCCCTCCTAAAAGTATCAAAACTACTTGTCAACTTGTCTGATCTGGGAAGCATTTGATTGTAAATGTCCATCGGGATACTATTTTTAGTGTGCAGAACTTGTTCTGGAGTGCAAACAGCCTGATGCAGCTCTGTGCCTGTGTCACTACCATGAGATACAGGCGTCTTGCTTTCTAATTAGTTTCTCTTTTCACAGATGCCTGTCCTCCCTAATAAAAAAACAATCTAGAAAGATGGAGAAAGTTGGATTGTATTTGTTGCCCAAATGCTACTGAGTAATAGGATGCTTCTGTTTTACTTCCTTGTTTTGCTTCTGCTTTTAAGGCTCTAAGCAAATGCAGAGGTAAGCATGTGAAGTGCTCAACAGGACGGGATGATCATGAGGCTTTGCTGGCAGGCTGTGAAAAGTGAAACTCTGCTCTTGCATAACAGATGTTGTGCTATGAAAGTGGAAGCCATAAGCACAAGATGACTTTTTTTAAGATTTCTGTGGTAATGGAGTGGAAAAGAAAGAGGCAAGAAGGAAAGGGCAGGTTGAGGGTAGGAGTGAGAGATGTCCCAAACACAAGTGCACTAAGGAAAAGGGGAGCATCTCAACTGAAATTAACTCCGAATCTCTTGCCTTGTCTCAACACCTGCTCTCTGTTTTCTCAAAGCAGAACACTGCAAAATCTCCTGAAAAAGTGTGAATTATTAAAAGTGCAAATTAACTCATTCTCTTTGCATTACCCATCAGACCTAGGATTCAATTTCAAGTGATTCATAGCATCATAGTGAGATACGCTGATGAGGTGATTGGCTGGATCTATTTCCTTGCTTGGTCTATCTCCTTTTATCCTCAACTCTTTGAGAACTGGCGTCGAAAAAGGTAAAGAGACTTCAGATGCGTTTGCAAGTCAGTTAAGCACTTACTTCTTCAAATCATGTTCCTAGCTTCAGTTACATCCATCTTGGTTATTGTGAATTATGCATGAAAAGACGGGGCGGGGAGGGGGGGAAGTAAGGCAAATACAGGGCCTGAATAAATGCAGCTCTAGTGAGCTTTTATGCATGCAGGTCAGAGGAAAGTGCATGCATCCTGCAGACACCTAATCCTCAGGTTTGGCATCCAATACTGATTTGTGATAGAGGAGGCTTGCCCATTCACTTTGGTGTCACTCTGTAAATCATCTGGCTGAACCAGTTGTGATGACCACTTTCAAAAATTACTTACCTTGTGAGCAGTTTGTACTGTACTCATTAGGCCAGTTCCCTTTAAATTAAGTGGCTCTAAGTAGAAAAATTATTATATATGAAAACTAAAGCATTTCTTCTGGCAAAGATGCACTACTACTTCCATGGATTCAGGCTGGAATGAATTTATCAGACTATCTGAGCTCATGGCAGCATGAAGTTAAACAGCAGGGACACAGCTGTGACAAAGCTGTCATGAGTACAAGTGCCTGGCATATGAGGAATATTTCACCTTGCTTCCTGATAGACTCACAGCATCATGTTACAATGCCTTTCATTTATATAAAAAATTGCCTATAAATCAGTACGTTGTAGGGTCAAGTTGTTGCTGGAACTGCCTATAAAGATCATGCATATTTCTCATACATTTTTCCTCCCTTTTCTAGCGTTGTTGGACTAAGCTTTGACTTTCTAGCATTAAACCTTACTGGCTTTATAGCATACAGTGTATTTAATGTTGGACTCTTCTGGATACCCTTAATTAAAGTAAGCATAATTATCTCTTAGTACTTGCCAGGGGTTGGGTATCTGTAGAAGGGAATTAAGGTATTTAGTTGCTTTTGGTTTCCCTTACATTTAGGAGGAATTCTTAGTCAGTTATCCCAGTGGGGTGAACCCTGTGGCTATCAATGATGTTTTCTTCAGTCTCCACGCAGTAGTCCTAACTCTCCTCACCGTTATGCAGTGCTGCATCTACGAGGTAAGTGTCAACACTGGGCTCTGCCAGAGCTCCCTCTGCCGGGCACCTCACCACTCACCGTCTGCTCCTTTTGGGCTCCAAAGTTCTATTCGTGGCACTTTCTCTGGCCTTTCAAGAAGTCAGGCTTCACAATCCATCTGCCTTTACCTTTCCTGAGCGAGGAGCAATTTCAGGAAGCTTAGCTACTTCAGCCTCGGGATGTTGTGAGCTCCAGCTTGTTAGGTACTCAAAATAACTGAGGCAAACAGCCAAGTTCATAAAGTTCCCTAACAGATCTCTAGCCAGCAATAGATTACAGTTCTACACAGAACAAATGCTGCTTTGTGCTTTTCTGTTTCCTCACTACATGGACCATTCTTCAAGGTATGTCCCTGGGGATTCCCTGCAATTCATCCAGCTTGTTTTTTTTTTTTTTTTTCTCTCAACTTCCTTTCTCCTAAAACAGTTGCAAAGATCCTTTTATAATTCCCACCGTTTTCAGGTGAGACTGCTTATTGTAGTCAGGTTTTTCTTTAATTCTCATTGATTGTTATACTTGGGTGGTCTTTATTTAATTCCTGTTGTAAAAGTCTTTGATGTGAACAGCTAATTTTCTCTAGCTGATAAGTTTCTCTCTTGGTACTTCCTTTGGTAATGCTAAGCCTAAAAGTCTAACAGCCTGTGTGTCACCACTGCTAGGTGCAATAGTCTTTTCTAGTCAAGAATTAGAAGGCAATCATGAATGAACCGTTTAACATAATGGCATTAGCAGCCTTTTTCATATGTAGGAGCTCTTGATAGCATCACACTGAATGCAGGAGACTGTTCCAGATGTGGCACTGATAATAGGCATCATAAATACTCAAGAATACTGCCACATAGTGTATTTCACTTCATGTCCACTTCATGGACAGCAGTGTTCCAAATGATTGATGTTGAATATTGCTCATCAGCTCTTGCAAACCTATAGCTTGCTGCTGTAGCACTCACTTAAAATTCCCTTGTGGTATGATCCTAACTCATACAAGAATAGCTTTGGACTGTAACTTTGCATAGTCGTGTATATTCTGTATCTTACAGTGTGTCTGGGGATGTATGGTTAGGCTGGTCTAAGTGTATCTGCATTTCTGTTTCAGAGAGCAGCTCAGAAAGTATCTAAAGTTGTTGTTGGGCTACTGGCACTTGCATGGATCTTCACGTTTACGACACTGTTTCTTGCTGCAGCTGAGGAAATGACATGGCTACAGTTCTTATTCTGCTTCTCTTACATTAAGTTAGCAGTCACACTGATAAAATATTTTCCACAGGTAAATCTGAACTTTTCTGCTTTTATACTACATTTCTCTCACCCTAGCTTGTCATGTGTGCTCTTGAAAGTCTGACTAAACCAGCAGTGATTATTTATTAAGTCTTCTAGTGACAAAGCCAGAGTAGTTACACAGAAGGCTTCTTAAACGTTAGTCTCAGAAATCTTGTACGTGATGTGCTGACCAGCTTTGTGTTGCGCTCTCAGGCATACATGAATTACTGTCGAAAAAGTACAGAGGGATGGAGTATTGGAAATGTATTGCTTGACTTTGCTGGTGGAAGCTTCAGTCTTCTCCAGATGTTTTTGCAGTCATACAACAATGGTAAGGTTAGAACTGAAGTGGTGGGGCCTTTCTTAACAGGTTGGGAGAAGCCTGCTACAAAGCAGGTATTAAACCAGTAGGTCATTTTTGGAGAATGATGTTTGTGCTATAGTATGGGTAGATGTTCTTATATAAGAATAAAGAATCTCTTCCTTGAAAACAGAAAATGAAATAGCTATTTTGTAGAAACCATATGAACAGTTATCAATTAGCTTTGCATAAGATGTGCACTACAGTTAGTTTTAAGGTGTATCTAAGCAGTGCAGGTAATAAACATGAACTTCTCTAATATGCATGACATAACCTTTAGTCTTGAGACAACACTACACTTGAGGAGTTAGTTTTAACTTTCTAATTTGGTGTTTGACAGATCAGTGGAAGTTAATATTTGGAGATCCAACCAAGTTTGGCCTGGGTGTCTTCTCCATCATCTTTGATATTGTTTTTATGGCCCAACACTACTGCCTTTATAGGAGACAAGGGTATGAACCTTGTGAATAACATCACTTCTGAAGACAAAAACTTTAAGTTGAACTTGCTCTACCCTGGCTGAGGGCTTTCAAGATGCCTACTGACAGTTCTTATGTGTTTGTACTTTGATCCTCTCGGGTGTGGAATACAAACTGTTGCCTTGCAAAATGCCAGATGCCTTAAAGGACAGCAGCTATCTTGACACTGCTTGCAAATGGAAGACTCATGCCTGTTGAAGCTGCAAAGGCAGCTTAGTGTGAGCTGTCCAAGCAACATATGGCTCTTTTCCCATTAGCAACAAGGAAAAGAAAGACCAGAGTGATGTCTGATTGGAAGTAATGCACAAAGAGCCACAATCTAGCTCCCAAACATCTGAGATAATGTTTAAGCAACCACTTAGTATCTTAATGTAATGACTGAAGACTGTGGATGTAAGTGCTGCTGCTGCTGCCTCCTCCTCATGTACTGATCACCACCACTCAGGTTGGTTGTTAACAGCTGTAGTGGTACATAAAAGAATGAGGTTGGTAATTCAGGTTCTAGTATTTGTGTATTTTTAATATTTTCTATTAAAAATACGGAGAAGCAGAAATTGTATTCTTATTTCACTGAAAGCTCTCTCAAAGGTGCTAAATAACTAGTGTACTTACTTCATTTTCCTGAGTTCTGCTGCTATACCTTGAATCCTAAATGGTTAAAGAGTTTGCTAAGTCTTTAATAAGTGGATCATGTTAACAGCCCCATAATTAAATACATGTTTTGTTCCTGGGCAACTTTCCAACTACATGTGCTGTGATCAAGGTCTTAAGTTACATTTAAGCATTATACCCTTTAAAAGGACTAGAAGGGAATCCATGCATTTGTACTTTGAACAGTATTTAAAAGCTCAAATGCTAATGTGTCTTATGAGGTGTCAACCTAAGGAAGACTGGGACACTTCTCTCCCCTGCTGGAGTCCCAGTGAGGTATGACAGATCACTAACACTGCAAACATCCACCAGTGAAATCAGACATTACTAACTTCAGACTGCATTGTGCTGATGTAGTCCACAATTCACTCCGAGCCAGAAAAAAGGTCTCAGCTGGGGCATTCAAGAGATGTGGCATTCTTAAAATGTAAGGACAAACAGCTCATGAAATCCACCTTTGTTTTATTGTGTGTAAAATCAAAGTGAAATAGTAGTACAAATAGCAGTGTATCTTTATAGTAAAAAAAAATAACTTTCAAGTTGGAAGCCTTAAAATTTACCATTGAATTCTTAACTTACAAAATTCAAAAGCAGTATTGTAGTAATTCCATAGATATAAAAATGGTAAATAGGCATCTGCTGGTGTGTACAGAATAGTCTGAGATGCATTAATCAACATATGCATGTGGCACAGCAGTAATAAGTTAGTCTGCCACCTCCTCATGTTCTATTTACAACAGCTTACCTGAAGACTGCTTAAGTATAGGTATGTATAAATCAACTGAAGGGGATTAAGAACTCCAGGTTTTTGATAACTGTAAAGGTAGCTGGTTAACAAACCACCAGGATGCTAGAAAATTATCTCAGTGTTGCAGCAGGAGCCTTAAATCCTGTGGCATGTTGATTTAAACTGAGTATCTTACCAGAAGCTTAAATTTGGTCAGGAGGCACTTTTGCATGTTATTGGTATATTAATCTCTTCCATCCAATAAATCAGTGATTTAAGAAAAGTCTTCTAGAAGACAGACCAAAATCCACCCCTCCCATTTCAAGTCCAATAAACGTGGAATGAAGAACTGAGGACTCTTAATACAACAAGCAGCTCTTTCAGTAAGTTCAGCAACAGTTTCTTCTTTCCTGCTCCATATTCCTTTCATTTAAACTTGATTCATTTCATTTTACAAATTACTTGGGAACAAGGAGAATTAAGTTTTTATGCTGACAGTGAAGTTGAACTGTAGTGTCTATGAACTTGTAATGTCCTTCACAGGCTTTACACATGAACTTGTAGTGTCCTTCACAGGCATCTGACATTCCTGTGTAACTTAGCTGTTTCTTATCTGAAGAGGCTGCTTTGTGCAGGGAAATCTACAGTAAACCATAATGCCCCAAACCCTTTGGCATGCTTTGCCTAGCTAGCACACAGAGTGGGATTAGTACAGTGCTCCTCCCCACAGCAGTGAGCAACTCTTAATTCTGGCATTTTAGTTTGATAGTGCAGAGGGGACAGGACAGCTCACTTCCAAAAGCTTAAGCACAGCAAACCCTCTTCCATAGCAGAAGCCACACTTCCTCTTAAAATAGGAATCATTTGTGCTACAAAAGAATCCTTTTGGAGTTAAGGCTTTTCCAGTTGCTTCCTTAGATAAGTAGGGTTTGTCCCTGTCCTCCTACAAGCCACAACTACAGTAAAGTCTTAACCATGTACCTGCAGGGAAGACTTTTAGAGAAGCACTCTGCTGAAGGGACCAGAATTCTACTACTGCCAGTTACATCAGAAGAAGGAAAAATAAAAATCAAAATCATGTTTACCACAGTTAGGAACATGCTCCCCTTCCAGCCAACCTGTTCCAGCCTAGGATTTGCTTCCTTGCTTGACCATCAGTCTATGTATCTCCCTCCCCAACCCTTCCCCAACTCAGTAACTGATTAGGACATCAAGGATTGTTGCACAGCCTTCTGCAGAGATTGCCTGGTCACCAGCAGCCGTACGACTTCTTCATTCCTTTTTGTCAGCCTCTTCCTTGCTTGGTCATGGGTCACCATTGTCATATCCCAGCCATTCACCTGGGAAAAACACCTAAAATGAGGCATGTGTGTGGACTCACAGGTGTCCTGTAACTGTTCAATAGAGCTGTGTAGTAGATACACTTGTGCCATTCATCAGCTTATTTATAAGCCCCACAAACCATCCTGGAAAGCACCCAGAAGACAGCATTTCCCCCAGAAGACACTTCCCTGCAGCACACACCTAATGCTGTGTTAGTACTTGTCTCATGATGGTGTTTACCTGCATGATCTTATCTCCAATCTGGAGTCCTGCAACTTCTGCTGGGCCTCCTTCTGTTACCCTTGTTACATAGATACCCTAGGGAAAAAATAATAAGTGTTCACTTACTAAATAAAGGACTATTAAATTCTTAAGAGCCAATCAAAACCTGGAGAGGGGCTTTGGACAAGGGCCTGTAGGGACAAGACAAGGGGGAATGGCTTTAACCTGCCAGAGGGGAGACTGAGATGAGCTCTTAGGCAGAAGCTCTTCCCTATGAGGGTGCTGAGACGCTGGCACAGGGTGCCCAGACAAGCTGTGGCTGCCCCATCCCTGGCAGTGTTCAAGGCCAGGCTGGATGGGGCTTGGAGCAAGCTGCTCTTGTGGAAGGGGTCCCTGCCTGTGGCAGGGGTTGGAACTGGATGAGCTTTAAGGTCCCTTCCAACCCAAACCAGTCTGGGATTCTATGATTCTACAAAAACACTATTGTATGTTACAGGCTCTAGTTAAAAGCAGGTTTGTTCAGTGCTGGAAAACAGAAGAGGTGGAGAGCTAACAAACCAAATCTAGTCTGCAAATGATAACATAGCAGAGAAGTAACTTTAATAGCCAGCTATGTGAGAGGACAGAATACAGACACCAGTTGAATTAGCTAGCCGAGTTGAACATACTCGGCCTTTTGCAGAGATACTGGCTATGTAAAATGAAGAGCATCTGACCTTGTCGGTCTTGTCTTCGGAGAAAGGATTCTGAGTAGGATCCTGATCAATGCCACCTCCAATGCTGAACCCCAAAATCAAATTGTCACCTTGACGAAGCTTATGTATTTCAATTCTTTGCTGTAAAGAGAAAAATAGCTGAGTGTTGTGATGAAGAAGAAATCTTGCCAACAGCAGCTGGCTACAAGCTGTTCTCAGCCCTGCCACAGAACAGCAGGATGGGAAACCACTTGCAAACTCAGCTCAGTGGTGCTCCTGCCACCATACAGCCAAGCTCCTTAACTACTCCGAGCTCTAGATACAAGGGAAAACACTAGAAACAGAGCAGGTCTCTTGAACCATGAGTCATGCCTTGCCAACCAGCAGTCACTCACAGCAAGACTCATCTTGCTCTCTGCCCACGTCCCCATGTTCCTGTCCTATCAGTGAAACAACAACCTATTATTAGGATGGTTCTTTTTCAAGATAACTTATCGGCACACTTGTAACCCAGAGGCAGGTGTTCCTTGCTGTGTCTGATGATTGCAGGCATCTGACAAACTTCGTGCATTATCCAAGTACCATATAAGCAGGTATCCCTGGTCGCTGCAGGAGGAGGACTAGGTGACCTTCAGAGGTCCCTTCCTCCCCAAGCCACCCTGGGATTGTTCTCCAGCAGCTCTCAGGCACCGAGCTGCCCAGGATCTCCGCCAAACCGGAGCGGTCTCCCCGCCCTCAGCCCAGCGGGGAGCGGTGCCGCACACACAGCTGCGGAGCCCCTTAATTAGAGCTCCACTTCTGACCCCGCCAAGACAAAGCGGGTGCTCATCCCGCCGCTGCCGGGCAACGGTTCTCCGCACACCGGGGAACGCGCCTCCCGGCTACTTCCTCCCCCTTCCGCCAAGCACCCCCGGGACAAGCGGCGGCTGCAGCCCGTCCCCGCAGCCGGGCGGGGCTCCTCCCCGCTTCCCCACTCAAGAGCGGAGGGGCCTGCGCGTGGCTCAAGTGACGATTCCTCTATAGGCACTATCAGCCTCCGCGGCAGGGAACGCAACCATGACCGGCAACGCTGCAACCCGCGCCCTCCGCCCCGCTGCCAGCCGCACCAGCACCAGCACCCCCGCTCCGCTCAGCAGCCCCATCTCACCACCACAGCGGTGACCGGCTGCCCCGGCACGTACGACATGACCCCACCGCCACTGCCGCCGCCCGAACAAAAGCGCCTCGCCCGGCCCCGGCCCCCGCCGCCGCCAGCCAATCGGGTGCCGCCTCGCCCTCAGCGCAGGCGGGGGAGTCGGAAGTGAGGCCGCTTTCCCGCCGTCCCGCGCGCCCAAGATGCCTGACAGGAGCTTCCGGCGGGGCGGTGCGAGGCGCCGGGGTGACGGTAGGTTGGGCCCGGTGCGGGGAGGAGGGCGAGGCGGCGGGAGGTGGCCTCGGCCCTCGCGGTAACGGGCGGTGTGCGCTGTCCTTCCGCAGGGTACGAGGCGTGACGGCAGGGCCCGGCCGAGGGGTCCCGCGGAGCATTGCGCCGCCGTGGATGAGAGGTACTGAGTGGGGGAAGGCGGGCGGGCCCCGCGGTGCTGGGGGCCGGGGAGAGGTCTTCCGCGTCGGCGGCGGCTGTTGGGCCTCCACCGCACTGCGGAGCCGAGTGGGCTCAGCGGGGGCGGTACGCAGGCAGGGCGGCCCCCGCCCGGCCCGTACAGCGCGTGTCTCCTTCCCACCCAGAGCCGCTGGGCGAGAGGAGCTCCGGGAGCCATGGCCGCGGTGGTGGCCAAGCGCGAGGGGCCTCAGTTCATCAGTGAGGCGGCGGTGCGGGGGAACGCCGCCATCCTGGACTATTGCAGGACGTCTGTCTCGGCACTGTCGGGCGCCACGGCGGGGATCCTCGGCCTGACCGGCCTGCACGGCTTTATCTTCTACTTCCTGGCTTCCGTCCTCCTCTCCGTGCTCTTGGTGTTAAAAGCCGGGCGGCGATGGAACAAGTACTTTAAATCCCGAAGGCCACTTTTCACGGGGGGGCTTATAGGAGGGCTCTTCACATACGTCCTGTTCTGGACTTTCCTGTACGGCATGGTTCATGTCTACTAAACAGACCAGGAGCCACGTTAGCTGCAGTGGTTTTTACTCGAGCAGGAGGACTGTTGCCAGAACTCACCTACACAACTAGGCCAGCTTACCTTTGAAACTGTTGTCCATCGCTTGCATTGTTAATACTGTCAGTAAATTATGTCCAAGTACAAATGAAGTGGTAGCACTGTTCTAATTAAACTGAATGTGAACCACTACTTGGATGCCTCCCATGAATGTTTGTTTGGTGGTTCTGTCCCTAATTGCAGGCACAGCCCTGGGTTTTGGTTCATGTAGTTCTCTGGTTTGGATAAGACACACCAGTAACACTCCCCTCTAGATTTGCTGCCTGCCTCTACACATAAAAAAAATTAAAGTCACATGTAACAGCACTTTTAAAAGTAATCCACTGACAGATATTGCACAGTAAGTTGTAATTAAGTATGTGTAAAAGTTTGGTGCATGAGTCTATTTGAGCTGCCAGTGTCAATGTTATCTTCCCCAATTGCTACATGTACAAACCGTCAGTAAATGACACTGGTTTGGATGCTCTTAACTGCACACACAAAAGTCACTAAATAACATTCTCATGAGCCTTTGCTCCTTTTTAGTGCTGTTGTATTCAATGAAACAACCAAATAAGAGCAGCATCTTGCTACCTGCCACCTCAGTCTGTACTGAACACATGCTGGCATTGAGCTGTGCTTTGTTCTGGTGCCTTACACCTAGCAGAAACAGAAAGGAAAAGTCTGTGACTGACCACACAGGTAATATCTTTACTGCAGACCTTCTTGTGCAAACTTAATGTTTAATTGCATTGGTTACACAAGTATGTATCACAAAGAGAAGGTGGTGTGTCCCACCTACAAACCACACTGTACAGAAGAGTCTTGCAGAGCATTGCCCAAAGTGGTGGATTTTACTGCTGTGCATTAAATACGGGGGGGGGGGGGGGGGGGGAGTGGGGGTGTTGGGGAATCAAAGAAACAAACTCCTGAGAAAGAATCTGGTTATGTTTTATTAATAGCAGTGATTGTGGGAATTGTTTTAAACAAATGGTAGAAAGAAAGGAAATATTCTACGGAATATGGTGGGGGCTGAAGACTTAAATTCAGGAAACAGCTTTGGTCACCTAATGAGGACGTTTTGTCCCGTTGGAACATTGGTGTCAGTAGAGCACAGTCAGCTTTACATGTTTTGATGAGCTACTCAGTTTCCCTGCTTTCCTCTCATTATCAGTCACTGCCTGCTGTTACCTGCTCTGTGCTCTAAATGCCAGCTCTTAGGTGACAGTGGAGGCAGCTGGGACCCTGCCATGGCTGAACTGACCCTCCTCCTGCTGTTCCTGAGCCCAGCACAGCTCCTTGCTGCAGCTGTTGGAAGGCTTTTCCTGGTGAAGTACCATTTCTAGCCCTAATGGTTACACACACCCTACAATAAAGGTGATCGCCCTGCCATGGCCCTTGTAGAATAACGTGCTCTTGGGCTCCGAGCGCTGCTGGAATTCTGTGTTTCTCTGCACTTCCGACAGGATGAGTCCTGCTGCTTCACATCTTCTCCTGTGTGTAACACAAGTGGGAGTTGGGAGGCAGGGGATGTGTTGTATCAGCTTCAGCCCTCGGAGGGCCAGTGGTGTTTCACATCCCAGCACATGGAAGCAAAGCACAGCCTCGGGATAATACTGACTGTTGCAGGTACAGATATATCTACCAGTAGATATGAAAATGTTCACTTGGTGCCTTCTTTTACCTTTTATAAAATCCTTTTATAAATCCATAGAAATGGCGCACTCGTGCAAGCTCAGGATACCAGAGAACATCTCAGGGAAAGAAGGGCAGTCTTTAAAGGACTTTTTTCCTCTGGGAATCCCAGTAATAAGACAGTAGACCTGATGTGGGGCATCTCCACCTCCCAGAGCTGGTGTGATTCAACACCTGTAGGGTTTTCCTGGCATACGAGCCCAGCCAGCAGACTCATTGCTGTGTCTAGAGCCCACCAACCTGGTCAGGGCTCTGATTCCCATTTAGCGTAGGACTAGATAAGGATTTCCTGGAAGTGGACCTGAGGAAACAAGCAAAGGGGACAGCCAAGGCAAGCAGGCTGGTTTTGTTCAGGAAGCAACATGGGTAAGAGGTTCCCAGCCAGGTCTGTTATACCTCACCACACAGGCTATTATCTGCCATACACTTAATGCCCCATTCTTTGGTTTCATGAGGCTTTAGAGCTCTTGGAGCTGGTCCAGTTCCATCCTTGGTCATTGCAGACAGTGCAAGGCCATTAAGTCCAACCATGACACAGCAGCTGCCTTTGCTCCCCAGCTAATGACAGCAGTGAATTACAGAGGGAAGGAGTCACTTGTCTAAACTCATTTAGAGGAATATAATTTCCTGCAATTAGCCTGTGTTTGCCATCAATGTTTACTGTGTTCCAGTATCTCCTATTTCTAGAAGTCATAACAATAAAGCCATTACATTTATACACAAAGCCAAGCCCACTTACTTTACTTCCTCGTACTTTTTGCCTCGATAGAAGTTACTCTTTTTAATCAGATACAGCAGCACTAGGTCACAAAAGAAAGCTCCCTGCAGAGAGAAAGAATTTGTGGTTTATCTTTAGAGTAGAAGAGGAAATGTTCTGGTCTAATGAGCATTAAGGCATAACTGATAGGAGCTTTATTTTCCTTCATAGGCTTTGCAATCCTCAGGGTATTTAGACCACACAGTACATTAACAAATGCTGTTAAGACAGGACACAGACACACACCTGGCTGAGCAGTCAGAGCAGCAAAAACTACCAGAGAAGATCTAAAGCAACTGTCCTATTTTATCCTCGTAACAGTTAAATGAGGGATCTGGGTCCCAGTATGTTACTTTTAAGGAAATACATTCACTTACCGCTCCCATGAGAGCAAGCCCCGAACCAATATTGATAATAGTGGGAATGATGTTAAATTTGCCTGCCTAAAAGAGAAAAGGTTATGAAACACTCAGTGAAAGAACAACCCAAGAGACATTTAAGGGGGTGGTGTTACACAGGGGAAGCTACTGGTGCCCGTGGGTGTTTTGTTAGCAATAAGCATGTACAACCCTAGATTTGCAGTGAACAATCTTGGACACTAAAGGTCTGTGTGTGTCTCAGAGCCAGCTGCCCATGGCTGCATTTCTGAGCTTGCCTCATCCCTGGATTAAGCTGCTTTTTCCCCCAGTACATGCATGTGGGGAGCAAGTCTCTGGGGCACATTTTCTTCTGTGGGACTTTACTGAGCGTGAATTTAGGTAGAAGAGGTGCGGACTCATCCACCTTCTCCTTTCATTATGCAGGGTTAGCTCCACATAGGTACATGGCAAGAGCCCTTTCCTATGACAAGCCAGAAGCTGTTCTCATCCCAGAGCTGCCTTCCCACTGAGAAACGTCCCTCACCCTTTCTCTTGGCAGGCTCTGAAATATTCCGGCCTGGGACCTCACCTTGCCATTCACCATCACATCAAAGCGGATTCCATATGCTTTAATGAGCGTCCGGTAGTCGACCCCCTCAGCATCCCGGTAATATTTGGCAAACCTGGAATACAACAGTGCTGATTTTAACTCCGTCATCTGTCACACACACACAAAAAAAACCCCACCATCTGAATTCACCTCTCTCTTCAAACAGGTCTATTCCCCTATCAAAAACAGTTTAGCTTGCCATGAGCCTAACTCCCTCCCTCCCCTCCTCTGCAAAGCAGTGTGCTTGGCTGGAGCAGCGGCTGGCACAGGCTGGTCCTGCCTCACTGCCAGCCTCCAACACCAGCATCTCAAACCAGCTCAGCCCAGCTGTGGTGCTGCATCGTATCCTCCTCTGTACTCACCTGAAGTTATACCCAGAAGAGATGGGCTTTTCTGCAAACTTGTTATCCAGACGGCTAAAAGAATAGTGAGGATTACATTCAGAAGGGGCTTTATCAAGATCACAGTTCCATTCAATCTGAATTCCTATCACACCACCCTTAACAAAAGAGAGAGACAGTGTGAGTTTAAGTTTAGTTCAATTAATGTGTCTTTAAATTTGTCAGCTCCTTGGGCAAGATTTCCCTTGGGACAAGAACGATTGCACTTCTGGTCACGGACACGTGTACACACACATCTGGATGGGCTGAGTTCATGCTTATGATATTAATCACACTACTGAATGTACAACCCTAGTGCTGCAATCCTGGGAAGAGGTTTCTCCTCCCAGGACACTGATTTCACTAATTTAAGCAGCTGTACCATAGCTCTTTTATGCAGGGGTGAAATTCACAAGTGCAGCAGCCAGCACAAAGCCTGCACTCTTCCCACCCAATGCCTCATACTGGCTACATCTTTCCCCCTGTTCTTCTCACATCAGGTTGCAGCCTGTCTGGTGCTGCAGCCCGTCTGGTGCTGCAGCCCCACTACTCCATGCAGAAACATGTCCGTTTCCCTCAGGGGAAGCTTCCTGGAGTGTTCTCTGAGCAGAGGAGCCCCACTGGCCTTCCAGAGTTCTGGGTTTAAACTGATGGTGTAGTAGTGTTGAAATTGATACAGCAGTGGTTTGGGCAGCCCCAGCTAACAAATAACTGACCTCACCGTCTCCTCTGCACTACCCACATCGCCCTGGCTCCCATTCCCTGGGGACAGGATAAATGGGAACAGCTTGACTTTAAGCATCCACTGCACCTTGTACAGGAGGCAGTTTCCTGAGCAGTCAGCAGTGACTCTCCTCATGGCCACCCAGAGAGCAGTACAGCTAGCCAGGAAGACACATGAGGCGAGGGGCAATCCTACCTCTGAGGCCATTTCCTGAAAGTTGCTCCCAGCCCACTGAACGATGTTCCCCAGGAGGAAGATGGGGCAGTAAGGATGCTCCGTGCTGTAGCGGCAGCTCTTCAGGTAGGACTCATTGTTGGTTGCCAACACATTCATCCTACATGTAGGGAAGAGGGAAATCCACCTTGTCTCCCTCTTTGCTTGCCTGCACATCCTACACCACCACAGCTGCAGAGATCGGAGACTTCTCCAGCAGCCTCGTACACAGCAGAAATGGCACCTTGCCACCAGCCTGGTCTCCATTCGACCCTCTCCATTGCTACCCCAGGAAAGCAGTCTGCCCACAGAAATGACCTCCAGGCCAGACAGGGACTAGTCCAGCTGAGTGTAGGCTCAAGAAAGGACTCCCATGGAGCAGGCTGCCACAGTGCTCTAGGGGCACTTGGTTTTCTCAAATGAAGATGCCAGAAATGTCTAGCTAGGCCTGGGAGAACAGCAGGAACACACCTTTCTACACTTCTTTATTTTGTTCATAATGTAGCAGCAAATGCAAACAAGTTTTTTTAAGTTTGCGTTTCTGCAACCTTGTCCGGGCATTTTCATTTTTGTGGAAAAGGAGGAATATCTGGGAACAGCAGCAGCTCAGGAACTTGGCTATGCCCTCGCTGGTGGACAGGTCCCCCTGTTTCAGGGGCTCTGGCACATCCTATGCTGTAGGATCCATCACAGACCTCATCTGGTGAGGGATGCATTATCCCAGTTGCAATCTGAGAAGCTCCAACCCCTCATTATCTCCTTGTTCCCAAACAGCCTGACCGCTGCACCTCAGAGGAGGGGGTAAGTGCCTTCCTATCCCAGCCCTCAGGCAGCAGAAGGACAATGGAGCAAACCAAGGCTATTCCTTCAGTGATGGAGAGGACAGAGGGATCTCCAAGCACCTGCACTTACTTGGAGAACTTAAACTTGGGGAAGCGGACTGAGTTTTTGATGTAAACAGTGAAGTTTTCTGCACTGGCGAGAAGTGGTTTCCTGGAAGAGAAGGGGTTGTTATCCGTCTGATGTTTGTACGCTGCCCACATCCTAAACTTCAGCTGCAGTTTTAGCCATAGCCAGATTTCACCCGTGGCTCTAGGCCAACCATAGGACCTTCCTGCACTGCCAGCAAGGAGCTGGTGAGCAGTGTGCAGGCTGAGGGGAAGCCCTGGGAGATGGAAACAGCACTGGGACCACCAGTGAGCTCAACAGGGATGAGCAGGGGGCCAGTCCTGACAAGGGGCCATGCAGAGCTCGCTCCTGTACTGGAACAGCCAACATTCAAGCAAGCATCCAAGCAGAGGGAACCCAGATATCACCCTACGTGAAACACAAGCCAAGCAGCTCAAGCTTGGAAACAGCAGAGGATGGCCACATACTTGGGCTTGGATCTTTTCTCCACTGGGCACCAGGCCAATATCTCACAAGTTCCTCTGATGCTGTCCCTGTCTTTCAAACAACGGCCAGTCTTAACCCCTGCAGCACAGACAGAAAAGGTCACACAGAGCAGCCACCTCCTCCCCTTACCTACAGGGCACATGAAAATCAGATGTTTTTCACTGCCACCATGAGCCCTCCTCCCTGTTGTGAAAGGGGCTTTCAGCTGGAGCAACCACTCCCTTGTTGCTTCTCTGAGCAGCCTGGGGTGCTCTGGCCCAACCATCACAAGCTGTGAGCCAGGCAGCAGTCTTAGTAAAAGACAGTAAAGAAGAGAAAGTCCTTGCTGCTGTCTGTAGCCAGAGATCTCTGGGGTTGTAAGTGGGCTGATGCCTCTGAAGGAACATGACTCTATCAGACAGTACAGGAGGGACCCTTCCCTTACCATTGCCAGCCACCACTGCCTCCCCTGCCATGCAGTCCCCATCCTTGTAGCACAGGGCATCGGGAATTCTGTCACTCTGCAAGGAGGAAGAGAAGTGAGACCTGTGCCAGAACATGATACTCAGACAGTTAAGAAAGTGCTGCTGATGTGGGGTGAATTCTCCAGAGGGTGATGAACATGAAAAACATGCAGCTGAAGCGGTAACCGTAAGTTGTGCAAATAGCTCAGCAGCATCACACTGCCCTCACACCGAGGTTCAGCTGTGACATCCTGTTTTCGGGCTCTGCTCACTGTGCAGAGGGACAGGCTGGGGAAAAAACAGGCAGGATGTCACAGTACTTCACCTCAAGAGATACCACTATCTTTTGATTTTAAGCTTTGACTCTAGAGCCAAAATTACCCTCCTCTTGGCTGCATGCTGGGTTAATGCAATCACTGGAGGACAACTGTCTCCTGAACAGACCAACTGTGCTCAGCCTTGGCCACAGTAACATGTCTTGAGACATGGAAAATTAATCTCTGCTACAACATTCCCTGGATGGCCAGTGTCCTCTTCCCACAGCCCATTCTGAACCACATCTCACAGAGGACAGTTCAGTATGATGCAGAAAGACCTCATGCCTCTGGCCCATAAGGCACATTCTGGAAGGTACTGAGCAACTTCCCATGTCCTGAAGATAACAAGAGCCTGAATGTTCAGCCCTTCCCAGAATGGAGCTCTTCAAAAGTCTCCTCTATCCACAACTACACAGAGTCACTTCAAAGTTATTTTTCACGTGGCCTTTTCTGACCCTGAGCAATCACTGCTCTGGTCTCATTTCTGGCTGGGCAGGTGTCCAACACCTTCAACTAAAGTCAGCAAGGCTCTACATGATTAGTGGCTCTGGAAATTAAGAACCTCCCAGTTTTGCAGTAGCCCGGCCGATTTTCCCAAATCAGATGTTCTACTACAGAGAAAAACCATTGGCCTTCCATCTTTCCTGCGGTCGTTGCTCCATGGGTGTTCTCTGCCAGTTCTTACCCCCGGTTTTGTAGGGGTCTGGGGGCCAAGGGGCTCAGTTCTTCCTACCTCAGGACACGTGGCTTGCCTCTGGTTTGGGGTCACAATCAGATTCGTCATGACAAAGAAGACATTTTCACCCTAGAATAAAGTTAAGGCAGGGTTAGAAAACCTGTTTAACTCTTAAAGTACCTGTCATAAGGAGGATGCAGTTCTCTGCAGAACAGAAGTACCCCCTTCACTCCTGATGCTTTTCAGGCTGAGATACAACAGTGCCTTTGAATATTTGTTTGGATGAGGTTGGTGTGTCTCTATGGCTTAAGGGGTTCTGCTTCGGAGACTGTGTTAATCTTGGGAGCAGGCCTGCTGAGCCTTGCCCTGTTGGCTCCTTGGTGAGAACTTGTCCTCCCTTTCCATAAGGACACAGTGCCTGACTGGGGATCAAAGGCTGCATAGCAGTGAGGAGCTGTGGTGTTTGCTCTAAGCTAAGGCCAGGCTGGCCTTTCCACCAACAACCATACCGGAAGACATCGTTCTACTGAAGGGCAGAGACAATAGTGGTGGGGTGATGCCAACCTGTGGAGGGATGACATAGTCTGCCACATCCCACAGCCTCTCCCCCAGCTCCGAGGTGTTGGTGAAGGCAACCCCCTTCAGCTTGGTGATGACAGAGCTCTGGAGGGACGTGTCTGTGTCCTGGTAGCCCTTCTTGACAATGAACACCCACCTGCAAAGAACAGAGCAGGCAGCAGCATTTGAAAGTGGGGTCAGGGAACAAGTTAGCCAGAGGAGATTGATGCCAATGCCAAAGGTCAAATCAAAGCATGCCAATGACACCAAACCCTTTGCAACTACTACTACAAATTTAGAATAAACTCTGACACAAACTGTGCTTGTCTACAGCACTGGAGGAATAGTTAATCCCAAGATCCCACATGCAGGGAAAAGTGTAATAAGTGGTCATGGGGCAAAACCACAAAGCCTCCCACCTCCCTGTCCTGTGTTACCTCAATGGAAAGGGGAAGGGCAGGGCTCCGTCTTCCTCAAGATGAAAAATACCAACAGCTTCTGCAAGTTGAAGTGAGGAGTGTGGCTGGTTTCACAGATATGTGACTCTCCCATTTAAGCAGCCTGCCACGAGGCTGCCAGAACAGCACCAGACCATGGCTGGGGAGAGGCGTCTCCTGCAGGTGAGCTGAACATTGCTAACAAGAACCCATAGAGAATATTCTCAGCTGCATACAGGATCTTTCATAAAACAGTTGATGGTATTGACCTGACTGTACCCTGGACTCTGTGCTGGCCTTCAGGCTTGTCACTAGCACACTGGAAGAGCTGCTGCCTCACTAAGCAGTCCAGGGAAAAGCTTTGCTTACTTCTTCCAGTGGAAGCAGCAAGAGCTCCTTATCACTGGGTGAAAACCCCTCTGGCTCAAATGAGATGCTTCCAGCTTCCCTACAACACTGCCAAAGTCACCTGCCAAGACAAAAAATCACCCCGACCCTTGAAGAAGCTAAGGGTGCCAGGGGAGGTTTGTGAGAAGGATGCAGGTTGCATTTGCTGGTGCAGGTCCCCTTTGCAGTGCACTGACCTGGAGCACACTGCTGCATTCAGGAAGGGAAAGCAGCCATCTCAGGCTAAGCAGCACTGACACATGCTGCCCTTCACCTGCTACTTGTGACAAAGTTCAACATTAACATTCCCCACATTCCCCACCTCTGTGACATTTCCTACTTTCTTGTTTTCCACCAGCCATGAAGTCACTGTAGGCAACAGTGCCAAAGGTTTGCAGAAGGCACCAGACACCTAGGGAAGGAAATAGCCAGTCTCTGAACACTCACTGGTCGTGCTATATCCCCTTTGGTCAGAGGATGCGTTCTCAGTAATGTTATCTACAGGATTCCTCCTTTAGCAGCTAATACATGCCAGACTGCTGAGGCTTCCTTCTGCCCTGCTGACTAAAGCAGGCTCTGGAACTATACACCTTTCTATAAATAAACTCAGCACATAGAAATGGCTCTGCTATATTCAATCAGTGAAAACATGAGGCGTGCGAAAGGTGAAGGGACTCAGTGGAGGTAAAGATTTAGGAATCACATTTTGAAAATCCTCAGAAACTCAGGAAGCAATGGCACAGGCATCACATGGGTTGGATAATTCCAGGTCTGAGCCTACAAGCTGCTAAGAGTGTTGCTGTCATGTCAGTGTGACCAGCCTCTTACAGAACTGGGCCTTTTCTGAGACGTGCTCTGCTATCTTCATGCCAACTCACCTTGCTCTGAAATACATGCAAGGGAGCCCACGTTCACACTGCCTCAGCCTCCACAATCCCAGCTGCTGCAGCCCACTCCAGCAAAGAAATCTGCTGCTTTGTGCTTAGTTCCCTCCCATTTAGACTCGAGCATGTCATGCAGTCATGCACACAACCCAGGTTTGCCCCAGGGCTCAGAAACTGTGGCATAAATGCCATTGTTTCTCATGAGGCAGGTGTTAAAGTTTGGCACCATTCCCGCCAAATACAGAAGGTATAAATAATGCAGTACAAAGCCATAAAGCCATTTGATCTATTTTTAACCTGACATTAATCTGGAAGGTAGAGCTGAATCTAGCCATCCTAGCAGGTTAAAATATCAGATATAATCTATTACACATTACAAAACCCAGCTGTATAACCAAGCACGACTATCTGCATCAAAACCATAAAGCACAGCAAGCTGTCACTGTGTACAGCGTTTCCTACACTTATCTTCCTCACAACACAGTAACCAAAGGCAACTGCAGCAGTATGTGAAATGCAGAGGGATTCTTACCCCACCAGGTAAGCCAGGATGGAGAGCTGCACCACTCGATAGAGAATCCCCACCTTCTTGCTCTTCGCAATGACGTATTTCTCTGTTTTATAATCAAAAAGGGATAGAAATAAACTCTTCCAAGCCACCTGCCCCATGCTCCCGGCTTGTGCAGTGGCTGGAACAGGCAGCAGTGTTGCAGCTCGCATTATCCACACGTGCTCTGCATGGAAACCTGACACACCAACCCCTTCAGAGCTATCTCCTCCCTCACAGCAGCTGCTCTCTGCTCAGACATGAGCAGCTGCACGAACACAAGATCCTTCCTCAGCTGCTTTTCAGCTCATTCAGCCTCCAGGGAAGCCCCTGCCTCAGTTTTGCTCCCAAGCTCCATTCTCTCCCCCACAGTCATAAAATGTTCATAATGAAACATCTCATAGCATTAAGTCATGTTGCAGCATGCAAGTCTTTTGCTGTTGGATATTAAAGCCTTTCTTTAACCTTTACATGATGGCAAAGCACTTAGTTAACATGTTTAATTTCTTAAGTGTTTGCATGAACAACGAGAACTTGAGTCCTTACCAGGGATCCGAAATACTTGCCTGGCTACTACATCTTCCCACCAAACCCCCAACTTAAGAAACTAATAAATAAATTCTGTGTGTGGTTAAAGGATCAGTCACCATCATATCTCACTAAAACACATCTCACACAGCACAACTCACTAAAACAATGAGAACTGAGCTAGGAAAACAGAGATACAGAACATGCTGCCTGATGAAAAGCCAAAGGGAAAGGAATAGGTTAGCCCCCACTGAGATGAGTCTAATTTATTAATAGCTGGTGGTGCAAGAGGTGACTCCCAGCCTAACAGAGACTCTTGCATTGTGCAACGACATGAAATGACCATTACTTAAACCGAGAGGGGTGGACACTGCCTCTGGCTAAGGAGAGAACAGAGCAAGCTCCAAGATGGAAAATGTAGTAAGCCAGGATCTCCAGGGGCTTGGCGAAAAGAGCTGGCATACCTCACTGAGAGGAGATCCATCAGCAAGCAGGGACACAAACTAGACTGTGCCCTTTCCAGGGGGTTCTTCTTGGATGTGACTGCTCACATGCTGACTCTATTAGGGCATAAAGGGTTGTACCTGGTGTAAGGTGCAGGGTTTACTGCCTTCATGCATTAGCAGCCAATTCGCTCCCACCTGAGCACCCAATTAGCTCCTACCTGAGAACCCAATTAGCTCCTGGGGTTTTGCAAGGGCTGGGAATACTCTTGAGATTCCATGGTGTGCAGCTGCAATGCAGGCTGGAACACAGATCAGGAGAGCAGGTTCCACTATGGGGGCAGTGGGCAGTGCAGCAAGGTAACCTGCTCCAGCACACACATACCTCTGCCCTATGCACCTCCTCCCAGGGAGAATTATTCTCAAGATCTTGGGTTTTAGGAAAACTTCTATCCTTTGTCCTCTTTAAATCCCATATCACATTTAAACAGGTGAAGCAGATTTTTAATGAAATGTGACAAGGCTGCTCCAAACCACAAAAGAATCATAGTGTAATAAGGAAGAAAACACTATCCGAAAATTACCTAATTTTACCCCTCATCCCACACCCATCCCTAGAGTTGCCTTCTGCAAAAGGCAAACCTTTCTCCAACATCTGCAAAACGAGAACAGAAATCTGCCTGTGGCCTCCTTTTAACCTGTGGCTGCTAGACTCCTCAGCACCACGGTGGGCAGGTGCTGCTGCATGTGGCTCTTTCATGAGGGGCTCCTGGGGTGCCAAGGCAGGAGCCCCCCCCGTGCAGCCCCATCGGTCCCAACCCTGTGCCCTCTGGCTCAGGCCTACCTCCAATCCTGTTTCCAGACTTTTCAGTCACACTTCAGCCTCACCTCTCCCACTGCCCATGAAGAACCCTATCTGCACATCCCACTTTGGCAGTCCCTCTTTATCTCACAAAACATTTTGACTACTCCCCAAGCCTCTCCTGGAGCCCAATTTCTCATTCAGTCATCTGTTACAGTCTCCCTCTTCCTCAAATAGTGTCTGGCCACTGTACCCACTCTTCCTTACCAGATGCCTTACAGACCAGACTGTCACTACTGCCAGTCTTAAAGATCCTCTGCATGAAAGCTGGAAGCAGAAATAAAAAGAAAGTCTTAAAACATCTAATAACCTAAAGAGACAAACCCTCCAATAAAACTCTCCCCACTCCAGGGAGGAAGGAGACCATGGCGATTCATGAAGCCAGAAACAAGGAAGAAAGGTAGGCTTAGCCTATCTTCCCTCACCATTGCCTGGACCCTGAGAGCCAAGAGGTTAGCACTGAGGACTGGGCACAGAGGGACTGAGCCAGCTCCAGGAACCAGAGCTGGATGGAGACAGGGGCATCCTAAAGGAGCCACCACCTGATCATCTGTCCAAGCTGCTCCTAGATGAGAAACTTTGCAAGCACATGCCGCTGGGTGACAGCCAAGCATCATTTCTGGACATCGGTCTGGTCCCACAAGAACACCATCTCCTTGCCCTGCCCGTGCTGGAACTGCTCCAGGGACAGGACTGAGCAGTGAATACATCCCACATCCCAGGAGTGCCTCCACCATTGCTCCTGCTACACTAAGGATGCCCAAGTTCATGGACAAATGAAGTATCAGTGGCGACAAGTCAGCCCTGGGTGATGCCCAGAGACACTCCCCAGCTCTGTCCCCATGTTCCTCATCTGTCTGGGTGACTCCCCAGGCTAAAATCAGACCAAGGAACTTGCTATCGGTTAAACAGTGTGTTACCTCCTGGCCTGGTTTCGCTTAGTGGTGCAGACACAGGTCTGCTATGAGTTTTTGCCATTATTTTCCAGGTCAATTAATGTGAGAAACAATTTACGAAGGATTTATACAGGTTACAAAACATGTTTCTTAGAGCGAGAAGTGTTGCTGCTACAGGTGTGACGTGAAGACGACAACCAGGTTTGGTCACTTACAGAATAAAGGGTGTAAAGCTCATACTTCCCTTGGGTTTTTTAGAGCCATCTAAAAAGCAGTTTTAGAAGTGCAGTTGCAAGAGCTGTTTTTGAATTAAAAGCTTCAATTTGTATCAAGAGTATCTCAGAATATTCTGAATGCAGCTCAGCACGGGCTAGATTTGTGCTGACAACACAATTGCTGACATGCTCTTACAAATATTGTTCTTCTCACCTTCTAGTTTCACAACCTTTTCTTTTTTTTCTTGCCTGGAAGTCAAGGTTACAGTCACCACGTGCAGGCACTGGAGAGATGGAGAACTGTGGAGTGCTTGGTGAGGAAGGCCCCAGGCTGGAGATGGGGTGGCTCCTATGCCCTGGACCTCACCTTCCCCGCTGGAGCCCAGAGCACTGTGCACCTGTGAAGCAGCCAGGCCCGGCCCGGCCCTTGCTTGTGGCGGGATTCCCACAGCGTGGCACAGTCCAGTTTGGAAGTGCCCGTGGGCTGCCCGCTGCGGGAGCTGTGTGCCACGAGGCTCCACAATGGGCAGGGCCCTATGGACCCGCAGCTCAGGAGGGGCTGCAGATGGTGCCAGGCCCTGGCCTTGGCCTCGCCGCAGCCATCTGGCTGCTCGCCTTCGAACGGCTCCGAGTTGGACGTTAGGAAGAAGCTCCTCTGCAGCAGCAGCAGCAGCTCGTTGGGAGTGGTGGCTGTGGGCGGCTGCTCCTTCCTGTTCTCCCAGCGCAGCTTGCTGAGTTCGTTCCGGAGCTCACCGCGGGCCTCGCTGCTGCTCCAGGCTCCTCTGGCCAGCTCCTTCGCCAGCTGCTGCTGCAGGCTCTGTGCCTGACGGGCGGCGGCGTGCTGGTGCTGCATTTCCCCTGCAGCTTGCACCGCGCTGCCTCCTTGGAGCGCAGCAGCTGGCAGATCTGCTCCTGCCGCTGGGTGAGCTCCCGCAGCCGCTGGAACTCCCATGCGTGCCTCTGCTCCCAGTTGGAGCGCAGCCGTTTGGCCAGGAGCCGCCGGTCCCTCTCTGCCACGTCCTGCCGGTCCCCCTCTGCCACAGGGGCCTGTGGCTGCCCTGCCCTTGAGCCTGCCCAGGTGCTGTTCCTCTCTGCGTCCTGCCATCCCTCACCCCCTAAACGCAGGACTTGGACAAGAAAACATCGGTCATCTAATGCCGTCTGAGCAGTCTCCAGTGCGCGTCTCCAGTGCGCGTACGGTTCTACTCATGGGTTTTTGAGTCCTCTTGACTAGTCTGTCTCTGAACATTAGGACACGTGCTGGGTATCTTGCCATAAGAAGACTCCATCTAACATGAGCAAAACGTGGAGCTCAGGGCACCCCAAGGGGACGCAATTGACTGGGGGAAACAGGCCTCTTTCCCCTCCCAGCATCGCCCTGCCTCTCATGTTCTGAATGGCAGGTTGCCGTGGTGCCCTTTGTGACAGGCCCTTAGTGATGCGCCCTCCGTTACCCACTGTAGTGCCCTTAGTGATGTGCCCTCCGTGACCCACCACGGTGCCCTTTGTGACGTGCCTTTGTGATGTGCCCTTGGTCACACCCCAGGGCACTGTATAAAAGTCAGCAGGCCACATCCTTCGTGCCAGTGTCCGGCAGGACGGCGACGGGACAGAGCGGGAGCGAGAGACTGGCGCAGACCCCTGAGCGCAGCCCACGTTGTTCCCCACTGCCCCAGCAGCCCCGCAGTGCCGAGACACTTCTTTCAACCCTACTCGTTCCTCACCCCTATCCTTTTGTCCGGCAAGGATGGAAGAGGAACGCGCTGCACACATGCGGTTTATCCAGACTTTCCTGCAGAGCTCAGAGAAGGTAACCGCAGCCGTTTCCAGGCTAGCAGTGCCCGTGTCTCCTGATGGGGCCACTGGCTCTGCTGCCAGGCTGCTGGGGGCTGCTGGCTGGGCAGAGCTGCTCCCCCGGGTCTCCTGCACAGCACTGCAGCCCCACTGCTCCAGTCCCGCTGGCCACGTGCCCCCCTTCTCACGCTGCCTGTTTGTGTCTCCTTCTTGTGGGCCTTGCCATGTCCAGTGCCTCTGGACTGGCTCCTCTGCCCACTGCAACTTGTCTGCTTCAAGGTGTCCCTTGGCCACCTAGAGGTGGCAGGGGTGCCTTCCCCATGGCGTGGGGGGTTAGATCCATCCCCGGGGAGAGAGGGACTGCAGAAAGACTGACGTGACCGTTTTCCTCCTTGCAGACCCTGGATGCCGTGGACGTCCTGCTGGAGAGCTTGGTGCTCAGCTCCCCGGGCTCCAGGGACCTGTGGAGAATTTTGCAGGTGTGGCATTTGCAGAGAGCAGGGCTGGGAGGTGCTGTTCCTCTCCCTGGAGGGAAGGGAGCATCCGCTCTGAGCACACTGTGTCCTCGCAGCGCCATGCCCACAGCACGCTGCAGGGAGGGTGCTCAGCACTCAGGGAACCCAGACATGGCCCACCGTGCTCTTCCAGGAGCCTGTGTCCCCTGGCTGCAGTCAACCCCACTTCCCATCTGCAGCCTCCTCCCGTGCCATGGCAAAGCCTGGCCCGTGGCACTTGTGGGCCAGCTCCATCCCCAGAACTTTCCTCGCACCAAAGCAGCGGGAGGCACTGACCCCCCTCCTCAGGCACCGCAGCAGTGGCAGCGGGTGCTGCCCTTCTTCCCATGCCTCGCAGTCCCTCCTGCTTTTCTGCCCAGGTCTGACCGGGGCAGAGACCCACTGGGACCTGCCTGTCCTGCACAGGGAGCCCAGCTCTGAAGTTCGGCGCTCCTGACTTCTCAGGGAGCCGTACGCCCATTCCCCCATTGCAGGATCACCGCCCCCCGGGAGGGTGCTGCCCAAAAGCCCAGCCTTCACGGAGAGGGAACACAGGCCTGTGCTCACGGGGAGGGCACAGAAAGAAGCAGACTCTACCCTGGGGTGGTATCTGCCTCCCTTCAGGGCCACAAGGACTGCATGAGTCCAGCCAGGACTTGAGCAGTGCTGCTGCTGCTGCTGCTGGCACGGGCACCAGCTCCCAGGGCACAGCAGCACTTTCTCTCCTTCCAGATGCTGCTGCCCTTCACCAACATCAAGCACCCAGCTGTATGTGAATGGGCCGTGGCAAGGATCGCAAAGCTGGCTGATTTGATGGCCAGCTCTTCCTCAGTGCAGGTAGGGAGGCCCGCACCCTCCAGCCAGGCTGTCTCCCATTCCCTGCCCACCGTGGGCAGCAGCCTGCGGCTCAAGATGCCTGAGGCATTCAGCACGGCTCTGCCCTGGGCAAGGGTCTCGGCTTCTCTTTTTCCCATGTTTTTTCCTCCCCAGTGCCCTTTCTGCCAGCAGCCATCTTGGCCCCCAGTCCTGTGCAGGTCAGCACTGCCCAAGGAGCATGGCGGGAGGCCAGGCCTGGCAGCTCTCCCTGCCCGGCTGCCCAGCTCGCTGCTCTGGGAGGGCCCTGCACAACTCCGACCCTCCAGGATCCTTCCCTGGGGCAGTCTCAGCTTCGGAGCTTTTGTTGCGCTGCTGCCCCTCAGCCCTTCTACCTGTCCTGCCTCCCTTGCCCAGGTCTGGAGCTTGCTTGGACACGACCACAGCTCTTCCCACCATGACATCAGCAAGGACCGCTTGCTGGGACGGCTGCTGGGATGTCTCATTGTTTGCTGGACTAGCAAGATCTGGGCGATCCAGCAGGAGGCTTTGGTTGCTCTTCATCACCTCTCCATATTCATCCAGCACCAAAAATGTAAGAGAAGCTCTGTGGGCTTCATCCCTCCACACACAGACGTCTCCTCATAGTCCTGCTTGTTTCCCCAAGTATTGTAGTGGATTCTTTTTGTGCTTGCTGGAGGCTGTCCAGGGCAGCCTGCCCTCTTCCCTCACCTCCTTTGCCCGTCACAGCTGCTTCCCGCAGCATCCCAGCTATTGTTTTGCTGCAGAAGCCGAGTGCTCACCACAAGTCCGGCACTGCTCTTTGCTGCTCTCCTTCCCACTCTTCTCAGGGCCTCTCAGAACCCAGCAGTTCCATGGTCCCCATAGCCAAAGCTGTCACTGATGGTAATCAGTGCTGTGTCCTAATGACTCTTCCGTGATCCCCTCATGTTTAGGCATGACGTCACCTCAACCAGACAATTGTCATGATCATCCAGAGCATCCCCAGGCTGGAGGGAAGAGGGAAGCAGGGAAACCCTCCTGTCTTTCTCTGTGCAGCACGAGGAGCATGGCAAAGGTAATGAGCTTCTTCCTTGCTGGGCCTCTTGTCTGGGGCATCAGAACGAGACTGGTGCAAGCAAAGGGATCCAGAACCAGCGGGCTTGGCATGACCTCACTGTCCCTGGTCAGAGGGTTGCTGCTGTTCTGGAGCAGGGACTTCAGAGGGCTGCACTCCAGGGTCCCTCCTCTCTCACCTAGGGACCTCTCTTCTTATCCTCTGCAACGACTGCAGCCCCTGCTGCCAGCTTTCCCGTGGGTCCTCTCGCCAGAGCTGCTCTCACTGCCCAGCTGAGCAGCACTATCAGGGCACTCAGTGTAACACGTCTTCCCCGCCTTCCTCCTTCCTGCAGGCATTTGGGGAATACCTCCACCCTGCTGATAAGACAGTCATCATCCTCAGGGCCATACAGGCCATGAGAGACCCATGTGTATGTGACAAGGAGGAGCTGATCAGCATCCTGAACGTGGCCATGACAGAACCTGCCTCCTGGCTGACAGAGGTAAGCAGCCTGTGGCTGCCCTGTCCTCCAGTCCTTCCAGGCACTGTTCCTCCCTACATCCCATCTCCCCTCACCCGGGTGCTTCAGGCACCTTGAAGCCATTTCATGCCAGTAGAGTAGGATGGGAAGGGCAGCTGTTTCAGCAGCAGCTGAGGAAATGGCTGCAGTCTGGTGGCAGCACCACCCTCACCCGTGTGCTCTCCAGGTGTGGTTCATCACGCGCTGCATCTATAACAACTTGCAGCACATCAGTGCAGCATCAGCCCGGTGCAGCCTGAAGTCGCTGTTTCTAAGCATGGCACAGCAGAACCCCAGGGAGATGATCTTGAGCCTTATAGATATCTCTCCAGCATGTAACAGGTACTGACCCCCACAGCCCTTGTGGGTTTGTTCCATGTGGGGAGAGGGACGTGGAGGCCCACAGAAAACTGCAGGACACCCCTGAGGAGCTGGGCCCTGTACCCCATCACTCTCTCCTGCCCTGCTGGGTTGGCCAGGCCTGCAGTAGCCAAAGCTGTCCAAGCCAGACCCGAGGCCTGCCACGAGTTTCCTCCCTGCCCCACAGGGAACAGTTTCAGCCCCCTCCTGCCTGCCCCATCTGGGACCTGGGCACTCCCAGTGAGGGGTCAGGAAGGGCCAGGGCTGCAGCACAGCCTGGCTGCTGCAGGGCTGGCCCAGGCACCGTGTGGTGGCCAAGGCAGCCCTGCTGACAGTGTTCTCTTTCAGCAAAGTTGCTCAGGCCATGTGGGAAGCGCTGCTGTCCCAGCCCCTCATCTTGGTGAAGGTCTTGAGGGAGCTGAGAAGGAACCTCCAGCACCTGCAGTTACGTATCGGAAGCAGATTCTGCAGAGTGAAGTTCTGTATCCGGCTCTTGGCTGTGAGTAACCAGACCAGTCCTTGCTCATACTCAGGGCTGTGCCTGCCTCTCCAGAAACACAGGCACAGCCCTCTTCCCTGCCATCTGCCCCCAAACAGTCACCTCCTCTGGGAAACAGGGATGCAGCCCGTTAGGGCCAGCCCAGCGCCAGGTTCCCCTGTGCCAGCCACACAGGGCCATGCCACGCTGCTTGGGTGCGGGTGCACAAAGTCCCTGTCAGTGCTCTGCTTACACCAGCAGAGCCGGCACAGACAAGCGTGTGGTGTGCGGCTGGTGTCCCCCAGCACGGGCTCTCTGTCCCCGGTGCCCTTGTCCTGAGCTGCCAGCGGGACCCAGGAGCTGCACAGTGCCGGGAGCCCTGCAGGCTCGGCCGGTCCCTCACTGCCATCTTTGTTTCAGCTCCTGGCCTGCAGCGATGTGACACCAGAGGAATTCGCTGGGGTGTACAACAGGGAGAAGTTCCCGTGGTGTCAAAATGTGGTGCTGTTCTCGCTGACGCTCACAGGCCTCATCACGTTGTCACAGTCACCTGACACGGTGAGCAGGGCATAGGCAAGGGAAGCCGTGTTGGCCTCCTGGGGCTGGGCAGTGGGTAACGCGGCGGCTTGACCAGGGCTGGGAATCGGGAGCTGGGGTCACGGCACCAAATGCCCTCAACGTCCAGTCACAGGCCCCGATCCCCTCAGTGCACCATGGGGATGGCCTGCCAGGAGGCTGCTGCAGGGATTCCTGTGCCACTGCCCAGTCAGCCAGGCAGGAGTCTGGTGCTTAAGGGCCAGAGCATTTTGGCCTGGGTGGTCCTTCGCCACTTAACATACAAGGAATTCTGTGCTTTGTACAGGCAAAGAAAATACTGGTCCTGCTGCCAGATTTGATATACATGCTGCAGACAGCCCACAGTAAGAACAGAAAGAAGATGCTGCTCATTTTCAGAAATGTGATGGGTCATTTGAAGAAGAAGGACAGCTCCACTGCTCTGCAGCTGGCCGAGAATCTCCCGCAACTGTTTGATGATGTAAGGCTGCTATGGAAGCCTGATCCTCACTGATGGGCCCTTTGCAAGGACAAGTGCCTGTTAGCAGAGCCTGGCGGCAGCACTTCCATGCGGCTGTGCCCCTCCTCATGCCCCTGCGCTCTCACGGGGATGCCTTCTGGGCTCTGCAGCCCAGCTCAGCTTCTCCCTGACTTGCTGATGGCTCTGGGAGACCTGAAACCCCTCCCCTCAGCCACGCTGACGCCCTTGCTCAGGGAGCTGCTGCTACTGACGCCCTTCTGTCCTCCTCCTCCTCACCAGGTGTCCAGCCAGGTGCGAGAGCTCTCCATCTGCCTATTCAAAGAAGTAATACAGATGGCGGATTGGAAGCACCAGCGGCAGATGCGGAAGAACGTGCAGGGGAGCCTGGTCCCACTCGTGTTGCACATGAGTGATGAGACTGAGAGTGTGGCCAAGGTACAGATTGCAAACCTGAGCAGTGGTGTGGGGAAGGGCATGCTGAGCCCGCGGGGGTGGCCTGGGCAGCGGGGAGGGCAGGGGAAGCTGGCAGGGACATTTGCCACGCCTGCCCTATGTGGTCCAGCAGGGCTCAACAGCAGCCCATGGCCACCAAGGCCTGAAGAGCAGAGTCCCCAGGGACTACCCAGCTGTCCCTGCAGGTGCTGGGGGCCAGGGCTTTGGGCCGCAAGCCCTGTCCACAATCTCCCCAATCGTTGTCCTCCTCTGCAGGCCTCTCACGAAACCTTCTGTGTAGCTGCAAAGGTGCTCAAATGGAAATGGCTCAGTCACCACGTGCAGGCACTGGAGAGATGGAGAACTGTGGAGCGCTTGGTGAGGATAAGTCCCAGGCTGTACATGGGGTGCCCCCTGTGCAGTGGTGCCTCGCCTGCAGTGCTTCAGCCCAGAGCCTGCAGCCTGGTGCTGCATCCTCCTTCCCTGCCCTCAGGCAGAGCTCCCAAGGGCTCACCTCTCCACCCTCAGGATGTTGCAGGAGACCCATCTGGGCCCTTGCAGCGGCACAGAGGGCTCTCGGGACCTCCAGACCCTGCTTTGCATGTAGCTGTCTCTGAACCTCAGCCCCACAGGGCTCCTTGCTGGGAGATGCAAATGTCCTGAGGATGAAGGGGGGTGTGTGGGGTGCTGGGAAGGGGGACTGTCCCAGGTAACTGGGGAGGGTGTGTATCATCCCTGCGCCCTTTTGCTCTCTCCAGCTGGAGCACAAGCGGAGCAGGGCTGAAGAATATGTGCGTCAAAGCATGCCTTATCTGCAGCACGCTCAGGTCACCGTGCGAATGGCAGCCGTGAGGTTCATCGGTGAGCTGCAGTCCCTGGAGTCCCCCTTATGGCAGCCTGGCCCCAGTCCCATCTGCTGCACTGGCAGCGAGGAGCAGCCCTGTAGCTGCCAGAGCCCCAGCTGCCCTGTACAGGGCCTGTGCAGCCAGGGGCTCTGTGCTTCCCCCTCCTACCCCTGCCCTGGCAGCAGGTCTCAGTGGCACCTTGCTCATTGGCACCTCCCCTCGGGTCCTGTCCTTCCCTGGGGTCACCCCGCTGAGGGGAGGGAAGGGGTTCAGCCCAACCTTCAGAGCCGGGGCCACGATACCAGGAGTGTGCTGGGCGGCAGCAGGTCTGACCGAGCTCTCTGCACAGGACTGGCTGCGCGGTACCTGAATGACAGCAGCAAGGACACGCTGCAGGAGATCTTCAAGGGTGAGTAGGGGCAGTGCTGTGTGTGATGGGGCTGGCGGGGACAGGGGACAGAGCCTGGGCAGCGTGCTGTCCTGCTGTCCTGCTCCAGGGAACATCTTGGGGGCATTTGCTGTAATCCTGAGCAGCAGCTTCCAGGTGATCCATTTGTCTGCCTGCGCCTCCTGACCAGGGAAAGGGATGGTTGGGGCTGGCATGGTCTGGAAGAGATGCCTGTGGGTCTCTGCAGATCAGTGGGTTTCAGCTCTGCTCTTTTTCCGTCTGTTGCAGCACTCCATCCTTTGACAGGAGAAGAGGAATGTCAGGTCTCATCCCTGGTACAACAGACAATATACATCCTGACCTGTATATGGATGCAGAAAAGACGGTGGCGGACCCTGTAGGCGTTGTGCTCCTGACTCTGAAAAGCCAGGCAGCAGTTAAGCCCTGCTTAAGAAAATGTGACTTTTTGATTAAAGCTCCAACCACAATTCCAAGGCCATGGTGTCCTTCGCAAGCAGCATGGAAGGCCACGCAGCAGCCGCTGGGCAGCGGTTGCGTCCTGGCTCCACGTACCCACCTGGCCATGGTTGCAAACTGGGGAGTGTTTGGTGAGGAGAATCCCGAGGCTGGACACGGGGTGCCCCCTGTGCAGCGGTGCTTTGGCTGCCCTGCTCCAGCCAAGAGCACTGCTCACATACGAGGCAGCCCGTCCTGTCCCTCCTTCAGCTCTTACAGCTGCTTCCCACAGCATCCCAGGCACTGTTTTGCTGCAGAAGCTGAATGCTCACCACAAGTCCGGCACTATTCTTTGCTACCTCCTTCCCTCTCCTCTCAGGACCTCTCAGAACCCAGTTGTTCTGAGGTCCCCACAGCCAAAGCAAACTCTTCCCTCCTGATACAACCTGGAAGAAACCTTTCCCCTGAGCCGACTGGGCAAGGCAGAGTGGGAAGGAGAGAATAGGTTCCTGTTTTGCTGCAGAGCGGGTCTGGGTGGCGGGCCCATGGCAAGCCCCTGGGCACCTGATAGTACCGGCAGGAAAATCATCCCAGGGCACCGGTCCAGTGGCAGCGGGTACCGGCAGGTCTGTGGCGGGGCTCTGCGGGGACACAATGGTCAGCGCCGCCTTTAGCGGAAGGAGTATCCAATCTGGTCCTCCCCTGGTGCTCACCCGAGGCAGTAGCAGTGGGACAGGTTCTCTGAGGACGGACCGTGTCTGCGGCCGGGCCGCCGTTAGCAACCGTTTTGCCGTGGATACCTGGATCTTCTTCTATACTTGTGTCGTGGTTTAAACCCAGTCAGGCAACTCGTTCACTCCCTCCCTCCCTTCCCACCCTCCCCCTACTCCCGGAGGGACGGAGACGAGAATCGAAAAGAATGCAACTCCCACGGGTTGAGACAAGAACGGTCTAGCAACTAAGGTAGAACACAAACCACCACTGCCACCACCAATAATAACAATGATAAAGGAAAGAACAAGGGAAGAGAATACAGCACCTCACCGCCAGCCGACTGCCAGCTCGCCCCCCCAGCCCAACCAAGCACCGACCGATGCCTCCTCCAACCCTGCAGTCTTAGCCCCTCCGGGTAACCATCAGTTACATCCTGGGCATGACGTGCTGTGGTATGGAATACCTCTTTGGTCAGTTTGGGTCAGGTGTCCTGCCTCTGCTTCCTCCCGGCTTCCCCTCCTCCCTGGCAGAGCATGAGGCTCACAAAGTCCTTGGCCAAACCAAAACATCATTGTTATCAGATCTGTTCCCAGCTACAAAGAAGGAGAAAAATGACTGCTAATGCTGAACCCAGGACAACTTGCTTGGTGCCCTTATGGCTGCACAGGTTTTACATCTATTCTGCAGTTGCTTTTGGGATCAGCATTTGAATTGTCATTCAGTTCTCCACCTCCAAACCCCAAAAGAAGGCAACTGAGCATGCAAGTGCTTTGTCTGAGAAGAGCCCAAAAATCTGTGTGTGGAAGTGAATAACTGCTGGGGAAAGGCACCCACTGGTGCAGTCAAATGCGCTACTTCACTGCAGGCCCACCTGGGTTGTTGCACAGGCCAACTGTAGTTCAGCGTTTATGACGGGTCTGGGTTGTCTTATGTTTGTGGGTAACTGAATGCCCTCATTGCTCTGGTGTTGTTCAGCTGAGTTCTGCTCTACTTCCCGTTTGTTAGTGAGGGAATGGGTCAGCCTGGGTTGCTCTGTCACTTCAGGCAAATCACTCTGCTTGTGCACAGTGTTTTCACGTTTCCTGTGATGTTAATGACAAGGTTGGGGTGGTTTTAGGACAGGAGTGGGATTAGGCCACTCAGGAATTTAAATCCTCCTTGTGCAGGTAAGTGAAGTGCTGCTGCATGAGCTGGGAAGTTCTTGGCTTCAGCTGGAGCCTGTTATCTCCGTGGTGTGCGAGCTGAGCTTGTTGTAGTGCGGCCCAGTTCAGAGAAAACTACTCGTGTGTTTTTCTAGAGGTGGCAGACACTCAGGTGCTTTGTTCCATTTGTGTAGTGCTGAGCCTGGTCACAGGACTGCAATTTTCAACGCTTTTGGGCAAAATTGGGGTACCATTGCTCTGAAAAGGGATGGAATGTGAGACAGTGCTTGTTTCACGGGGTGAAAAACCCACGGGGAATCCTGCTTCTTCTGAAGGGATAGAAGACAACCAGTCAATGGATGTGCCACCGTGCAGGCAAAGGAGATCTGTGTTGCTGGGGTAAATATTTTCTATGGGTCTCAGACTATCTGCTTTGTGAAGAGTTTGACTTGGAAAGCAGATCTCTCACTCCCTGTTCATTCAGACACAGAATCACAGAATCCTAAGGGTTGGAAGGGACCTCAAAAGATCATCTAGTCCAACCCTCCTGCAAGAGCAGGGTAACCTAGAGTACATCACACAGGAACTTGTCCAGGCGGGCCTTGAGTATCTCCAGTGTAGGAGACCCCACAACCCCCCTGTGCGACCTGTTCCAGTGATCTGTCACTCTCACAGTAAAGAAAGTTTTCCTGATGTTCACATGGAACCTCCTATGCTCCAGTTTACACCCATTGCCCCTTGTCCCACCACTGGACATCACTGAAAAAAACCTAGCTCCATCATCCTGACACTCACCCTTTACATATCTGCAAACACTGATGAGGTCACCCCTCAGTCTCCTCCAAGCTAAGGAGTCCCAGCTCCCTCAGCCTCTCCTCATAGGAGAGATGTTCCATTCCCTTAATCATCTTTGTAGCTCTGCGCTGGACTCTTTCAAGCAATTCCCTGTCCTTCTTGAACTGTGGGGCCCAGAACCGGACACAATATTCCACATGCGGCCTCACCAAGGCAGAGTAGAGGGGGAGGAGTGCCTCTCTTGACCTACTAACCACAGCCTTTCTAATGCACCCTAGGATGCCATTGGCCTTCTTGGCCACAAGGGCACATTGTTGGCTCATAGTCATCCTCCTATCCACCAGGACCCCCAGGTCCCTTTCCCCTTCACTACTGTCCAGCAGGTCAGCCCCCAACCTGTACTGGTACATGGGGTTGTTCTTCCCCAGATGCAAGACTCTACACTTGCCCTTGTTGAATTTCATCAAGTTCCTCTCCGCCCAACTCTCCAGCCTGTCCAGGTCTCGCTGAATGGCGAGACAGCCCTCTGGTGTGTCAGCCACTCCTCCCAGTTTAGTATCATCAGCAAACTTGCTGAGGGTACATTCAGTTCCCTCATCCAGGTCGTTGATGAAAATATTAAACAGCACTGGTCCCAGCACCGACCCCTGAGGGACTCCATTAGTCACAGACCTCCAGCTAGATTCTGCCCCATTGACCATAACTGCCTTCTTCCTTCCAACCAGTTCTTGATCCACCTCACTACCTGATCATCAAGCCCACACTTCCTTAGCTTATCTATGAGGATGCTGTGGGAGACAGTATCAAATGCCTTACTGAAATCAAGAAAAACCACGTCTACTTCTCTACCATCATCCGCCCACCTAGTTACTTGCTCATATACGGTTGGTCAAACATGACTTCCCCTTGGTAAAGCCATGTTGGCTGCTCTTAATGACCCCTTCATCCTTGATAATATGCC